ATTTTACACTCCCACCAACAGTGAATAAGGGTTCCAGTTTCTCCACAACCTCGCCAGCATTTGTTGCTTGCTGTTCTGTTAAATTTTGCTATTCTGTCTGGGGTGAGATGATATCTCATAGTTGTTTTAACATATACATATTTTGTAAATTCTAGATATAAGTCCCTTATCTGACATGTCATTCCCAAATACTTTTTCCTAGTCTGTGGCTTCCCTTTTTACCCTGTTGGAGAAGTTTTTGGGTGTGCATAGGGATTTGATTCTTAGAAGGTCCCACTCATCTATTTTATCTTCTCCTGGTTGTAGATTTTTCAGGATATACATATATTTTGTCAAGGACTTCAAACTGCTTCATTCCAGTTTGCGTCCTTGCTGAAAATTTGACTTTTCACCACAGGTATAATAAACCAGAATTTGCCTTTTCACAAATTCCTAAGTGTTTCTTATAAATCCTCAACTGATTTTTTTATGTATACATACCCTGTTGAAATGCAGATTCTGATCTACTCTGTTTGGAGTGGAAATGCAAATGTGGGGATGAACCAGAATGATCCTCTTTGAAGTCCTGGTCTTATCTCCCTGTGTCAGTTGTAAACATGAATATTTTCTTGTGAAATTAAGTCCTAACTTCTTTTTAGAGCCATCTCACAATTGTTTCTCTTATGTTTGTCTTATATCCTGTAAATATGTTGGACTTTTTTCTCTTAATATTATTATGTTGGACTTTTTTCTCTTAATATTATTAAACTCTCAGAAACAATATAGTCTAATAGAAAGAACTTCAACTCTGAGTTTGGAATAAGATGAATTCAAGACCAAATTTCTCCTGCTTTGATCTTAAGTCATTTAAAACCACCTTTTCTGTTAAGAGAAGTTAATAGCTTTTACTTCTACTTACTAGACAGGATTGGTGTCAGGATCAAATGAGATTTTTTTTATATTCTTTGTAGACAGGAAATGCTGTTAAATGCATGATAGTGGAAATGCATTTGTTTTTTTCGAAACCTAGGAGACCACTATCTTAAAATGTTCATCGTCAGTATCACTCTTTAGACATAGTCTAAAGACATAGACATAGTTTAAAGAGTGGTCCTTTGTGGTCCTCTCAAAGCTATTTTCCAGATATATTTGACATTGCTTATTCCAGAGTTTCTGTGGTTGTAAGTAATTAGTTGGACAGCACTCCTCTCCCTCTCATTGCTGTTAAATCGGTTCTGACTCAGTTGTCCCTCCAGTGAGTGTCAAATCACAAGGGAAGGGACTTCCCATTTTTCTGGTGTTTTTAAACAACCAGAGAAGCTTGGCTTTTTGTTTTAGAAGCACAACTCACTAAGCACTGGGCCACCAGAGTTCCTTTTGAGTAGAATTATGTATCTTTTTTCCCCATTAGTTGACTTCTTTTATTCCTAAATTTGCAGGTTTTTGACTCCACAGCTAACAAAGATAAGCTGCTTCGTCTCAAATTAGGATCAGGAAAAGTTATCAAGGTAAAAGGCTAAACTATTTTCTTATATGATAGTTGCTGAAGATATAATTTAATTGAATTTTGTGAACTTACCAATTGGGGTGGATCTTCTGATTCTGGAAAGACTTCATTAAAATTCTTCATCTCATCTCCTTGCCCTCAAGTTGGAACCCTTTCATATCTGACCTCCATTGGGTTTCCAAGGCTGTGAGTTGCATGAGTGATTACCCATCCTGTGATGCTGCCTGTGTATTTGAACTGCCAGAAAGTTGTGGCATTTGGATTAGCATTGCAATTCCCTACCCACTATGCCACCAGAGAGGAAAAATATGTTACTTGCATTTGGGAAATTATCTGTGAGACAGTATTTTGATGATGCATACATTTCTTTTGTCCTATACCCCTCCTGCTTCTTTTATCCTGTGAATCTGAGGAAATGATTAAATCTGTTTTATAGCTGAATAGAAGAAAGAGGTGGAACAGCTTTGTCCTGATGTTTGTCATAATGGGTTGCCTCCCATTTCTCTGGGATACTTTCAGTTAACATCTCCTGATCTGATAGCCTCATGGTAAGGAGTTGTGCTGGCAACTCAATTGTATCAAGTTCAAATTCACCAGGTTTTCCTTGAGAGAAAGATGGGTAGGCCTCTCCTGTGCAGTTAACTGCGTCTGAAAACCTTTTGGAGGGTCAGCTATGGATTGGTCCTGACTCAACAATACACAACAACAAAGGCCTGAGCTCAAGTTGTGATTTGATCTTTATCAATTGTTCAGTTTTATAAAATAAAGATTATTTTACTCTTACGGGGTTTTATTTTGTCAAGATACAGCAATGCACTGTGAAGTATGTGTTCATCTGTGTGGCAGAGAATTTTCTCTGTAGCTTTGTGTATGATTTCCAGAATTTTTCAGAGACTTTCCCCCCGTAGACGTCAGGCTGGAAACTAAGGTGCACCTGATCTGGGCTATAGTCTTCGCAATTACGTGCAATGCATCGGAGAGTTGGACAGTGAATAGGCATGATAGAAAGAGAATTGATGCCTTTGAGCTGTGGAGAACAGTGTTGAATATACCATGGAGTGCTGGGAGAACAAACAGGTTTGTTCTGGAGAAGGTGAAGCTGGAATGCTCCTTGGAGTCAAGGATTCTGAAGCTTCGTCTGACATACTTTGGGCATGTTGCAAGGAGGGACTGGTCCTTTTAGAGGGACATCATGTTTGGCAGAGTGGAGGGGCGACGAAGGAGAAGAAGACCTTTGGTGAGATGGATCAATTCTGTGACTAGAGTGGTGGGAATGAGTGCATTTGACATGGCTAAGTTGACACAGGATAGAATGGCATTTAGGACTCTTGTACATAGGGTCGCTATGAGTTGCAAGGGACTCAATGGCACATAACAACAACAACAGATCATAGTAATTAAGCTAGCCAGGAGTAATGTGAGTGTTGGCTAAACAACTTACTAATTTTATGTTCTTGTCTACTTACTTAACTTCCCCAAGTCTGAAGTTCCTCTTTTGTAGAACACAAATAATGCTACCAACTTTACAACCTTACTTTTGGTATTACTATAAGCAAATAATAATACATTCTACCTTTATGTGCCAACTGCCCCTGTACCCCAAGGTATTTCCAATGCTCTCCATGCAAATTCTTTTCTTACAGAAATATTTTTTAAAATAGCATAGGATAAAAAAAAATAGCATAGGATACTGACAAAAATATTTAGAGAACATAGTTGACAAAAGCAAACCATAGAATGTACATGTGTTTTGCATTAAAGTATGTATGTAAAGCACTTATGACGATACCTGGGAGATGTCTTTAATGAATGTTAAGTTTTGTTACCATTCTGTCATTTCTCCTATTATCTAAGGTAAGTGTATTTCATGTAACTCTAGATATGTCAGGTTTTGTAGTGCTACTCTTCATAGCTTATAATAGATGTGGGAGGAAAAGTTACACTTGACTTCTTATTGTTTGTTAGGTATCACTGGGTCAACTCCAGTTCATAGTAACCCTGAGTACCAGAGGGAAACCTTACCTCATCTTGCAGCTTCCTCACAGTCTCAACTGTGCAGTCACTGTGTCAATCCTTCTCATTAAGGGTCTTTCCTTCACTGGCCCTCTACTTTTCCAGGCATTGTGTCCTTTTCCAAGGACTGGTCCCTCCTAATTACATGCCCCAAATATTGTGAGATGAAATCTCTCTATCCTTGCCACTAAGGAATGCTCTAGTTGCATTTCTTCCGAGAAAGATTTGTTTATTCTTTTGGCATTCTATATTCAAGGAGCTTTGGTGCCTGAGTGGTAAGGAATTGTGCAGCCAATGCAAAGCCATGGGGGCTTGAATCCACTAGCAGTCTCCTCCTATGTGATTTACAGCCTCTGAAAACTCACTGGAGAGTCAGCTATGAGTCAGATTTGACTCACCAGCTCAGAACAACAGCTTGGTATATTCAGGGATGTGCCAGCATCCCCAATGAAAGGCATCAGTTCTTTTTCCTGTCTTATTTATTGTTCAAGTTTCATATGCATGTGGAATAATCGAGAATAGCATCCCTTAAGTCAGATGCACTTTGAACTGGCATTTTTGCTTTTCAGCAAAGTTTTAAAGAGGTCCTTCACAACAGATTTGCCCAATGCAGTATGTCTCTTGATTTCTTGACTGCTGCTTCCGTGGCTTTTGCTTATGGATAGAAGTAAAATAAAAATTACTGACAACTTCATTCTTTTCTTAATTTATCAGCATGTGGCCTATTAGAGTTGTATCTGAACCTGAAGGATTAAGGATAAGTGAATGAAAGCTGATAATTCCTACTCTTCCTTTATTTATGCCTTATGAATTTTTTTTTTACCTTCTGTAATTCCAAAAGGGTTTGGAAGATGGAATGCTGGGTATGAAAAAAGGAGGGAAACGGCTACTTATTATCCCTCCATCCTGTGCTGCTGGCTCTGAAGGAGTGATAGGATGGGCTCACGCAATGGACTCAATCCTGGTCTTTGAGGTAGAAGTTAGGCGGGTGAGTAAAACTGTGCAGTGCTGTGTGATGAGTCTTCTGAGTATTTCTTTGCTAATTAATGAAATTGAATAAATAATTTTGTTTGAAAATCTTATTACGAAGACATAGATTTTTATTTTTTTAAATTTTTTTTTTAGTTTTGCTTTGTAACTAGAAAAACACTGGTGTCCTTCTCAGTGACTCTTTGCTGACTGCACACCCCTATACCTGCTTGGTTATTTCAGCTCTTTCTCAGGAGCACATGCTTCTCACTTTTCCCCCCAACAATTTGCATATTCTCTTCAATTTTTCTTTGAGTTTGAGGAATTCATTAGATAACAAGATAATTTTAATTTGTCCAGATTAGTACTTTGTATACATACAGAAAAAATATTCTATTTTACTAACAATCAAAAAATACATATTGTTCTATATGCTAAATTGACAAGAGTGATGATGGTTGATAATAACCAGGTGATAAGAATGTCCGGAGTCACAGGCAACTTGATAGCACATAACAGCAACAGCAAGAGTGTTCAGAAAGATTTGTACATTACTTTAATTCAAGGTTTTAAACATGGCCTTATGTTTTACCCAACAGTCTAACTCCTGGAAAATTAAGCTTTGTAAATATTTAAAACTGTGTGCAAAGATGTAGACATAAAGCTATCATAGAATTATTGTTTCTAACAGGAAAAAAGGGAAGTAAATAAAATATTCACTAGGTGGTATTTGGTCAAGTATTTGTAATAACATATTGTTATGTGTTGTCAAGTCAGAACCAACTCATAGCTGACCCTCCAACAGGAACTTTGATAAATAATGTCCATGGTTGTAGGGGGGCTTTAGGCCTTTTTGTTTATAGGGTAGCTATGAGTTGTGCTCAAATTGAAGGCAATCAACGACAGTATATGTATATGTATATGTATATGTATATGTATATGTATATGTATATGTATGTGCACACACTTGTATGTACGACGTACATGCATATTAATGTGTGTATGTTTGTGGGTGTAGATATTTATGAGTATATCTCAGAAAAAAATATGAACTAATCTGGCTGAAATTAAAGAATGCTGTTGCTTAGGACTTGAATTACCAGTGGTGATCATCTTTTTCTTTCTGCTTCTATCTGTATTTTCTGATTTGCTTACGGTGATCGGGTTATGTATAATTTGTGTAATAAAGAATAAGTAGAATAAGAGGGGAATAGTGGGAAGAATCCTTATCCTGTAGTCTATTCCAGCAGTGTTGGGTCTTTTCCTAGGTGAAGTTTGCCAGAGATTCTGGCTCTGATGGGCATAGTGTTAGTTCCCGTGATTCTGCAGCCCCTTCTCCCACGCCTGGTGCTGACAACCTCTCTGCTGATCCTGCTGTGTCACAACCCACATCGGTGCCTTTTAAATCAGGGTAAGATACCAGAATTCTGTTATATTTAATGGTCCATAAAATTATTTTAGAAATACAGATATAGTTGAAAACGAAAATAATTTTAACAATGGAAAGCAAAGCAAAACAGGATGAAGGCAGTAAGGAAAATCCTTGTGTCAGCTATCCCTGACAGAGAAGTAATAATCACATGTAGCAGAATACTCACAAAACAGGAAGAAAATGGAACAAGGAGCACAAATACAGTCCAAGAAAAATACTCAAGTAAGCATTTGGGTGGAAAATGGTTCAACTTCACTAGGATTCAGAGATGACGCAAATTTTAAACATAATGAAAATTTCGTTTTATAGCCATTAAATTGACAGCTATTTTTCAGAGACAATTTCCTCCACTTTAATCTGAATTTGGGATTGTAGGTTTTATTTTTAATCTCTGGATATGTTTTATTTGCTTTTAGAGAGCCAGCTCTTCGTCCTAAATCTAACTCCCTTAGTGAACAACTTGTAACAAGTCCAGTAAGTATTTTTCTGTCTCTCCTACCTGCAATGTGTATAAGAGGCTCCACATGTCTGGAGGCAGGGGCTGGTGTGGTGATTCTTGGTTGCTGTCAAGTCCTTCTGACTCATGACAGCTCCTTGTGTCCTAGCTCCCGAGGGTTCTCTTGGCTATCACTTTAATGACAGCAGTTTGCCGTGACTTGCCTTCCATAGTGCCACCAGGTGGATTAGATTAGCAGTTGAGTACAGATGATAGGCTAACCCAAGAAAAAAGTTGACAACTATTCATTTAGACTAAAAATTTTCCACTTTATTAAATAATTTCCTCTTACTTGGGAATTAATGCATGCCATCGGGGCATATCCATTGACTGATAGGGTTCAAATCTTTATTCTTTTTTTCTTTCCTGTTTGTATATTCATTTATTTTTTTCTCCCCTAATAGTTTATTTTCAAAATTCGTATACATTGTTTTCAAGAACAAGATTCAAGATTCTTTCAATTTCCCTCACCCCCTCCATCAAATTGTACAACCCTATGATTAATCCTCCCCTCCCCCTACACATCCTCATCCCTCTGCTTCCAACCTTTCCCACCTCTTTTGCATCCTTATACTCATTCTACAGTAATGGTTTTATGCAATATTTAACAAGAAAAGGACTGATAACCCAATTACAAAATAGGCAAAAGACCTGGAAAGAATTTTCATAGAGGAAGATATTCAAATGGCAAGCAGACACATGAAGAAATGCTCCAAATCACTGGCAATAAGAGAAATGCAAATCAAAACCACAGTGAGGTACCATCTCACACCACTCACAGTGGCAAAGTTTAACAGGGCAGCAAGTAATAAATGTTGGAGAGGATATGGCAATAAAGGAACTCATATACATTGTTGGTCAGACTGTAAAAGGGTACAACCATTCTGGAAGGTGTTATGGCGCTTCCTCAAAACGGTGAACATAGAAATTCCATATGACCCAGCTATTCCACTATGCCCTGAGAAAATGAGAACTGAGGCACAAACTGAGACTTGTACTTAAATCTTTATTCTTATAAGCTATGAGACCTTAAATTGGCAATTCCTATAAATAAGCTTAATATATTCTGTTTATAGCTTAAAATTAATAAAAATAAAGATTATGATCATCTCTTTATACATTTGTGGGCGATCTTATATGTTCCCTGGGTATAGTCTCCCTCCTCTAAAGACAGGATTAAGCTCATTAATGAATATAGAACCTTCTGGCACAGAAGGTCAGGTACTGCGGTCTTCAATATGGATTGAAGCCCGACATCAAGAAAACAAAGATTCTCACCACTGGGCCAATTGGAAGCATCTTGATAGACAGAGAAGAGATTGAAATTATTAACAATTTTAGCTTGCTCAGTTCCACAATCCACATTCTTGGCACCAGCAGTCAGAAAATTAAAAGATGAATTGCATTGGGAAAATAAGTTGTCAGGGACCTCTCCAGAGTAGTGAAGAGCAACAATGTCAGTGTGGAGCTTAAGGTGTTCCTGATCCAGGCCATAGTCTTCTCAATTACTTGCTGTACACCAGAGAGCTGGATGATAGAATTGATGCCTTTCAGTTGTGTTGCTGGAGAAGAGTATTGAACATACCATGGACTACCAAGAGAACAAACAGGTCTGTGCTGGAGAGGGTGAGGCCAAGCTGCTCCTTGGTGGCAAGGATTTTTCATTTCTGTCTCACGTACTTTTTGGGCATGGTGCCAGGAGGGGAAAGTCGTTGGATAAGGGCATGATGCTTGGAAAGGTGGAGGAACAGCGCAGGACAAGAAGATCCTAACTGAGATGGATTGAGTCAGTGACTAAGTTAATGAGGATAGGTATGCTGAAGACAGTGAGATTGGCTTAGGATAGAGCAGGGTTCAGAACTATTATATACGGGGTCACTGTCAGTCACAGGAGACTCAACAGCACATAACAATAGCACAGGGTCTAGTGTGTAGTCAGTGCCAAGTCAGAGTTAAAAGAGTTTGAATTTAGAACAAAAATCCCCTTTTTTTGTTTTCCTCTCCTCAAATCTCTTTGGAATGTTTATTTACTGAAGGCTTTTCAGAGGGTAATGATCATCTAAAACATACTCTTTCCTTAGTTTTTGGTTAGTATGTTTTAGAGCATATCCAGGCTTACAGAAAAATTGTGCAAGAATTAGAGAGTCCTCTTATATCCCTTCACATTATTTCTCCTATTAACATACTTGTTATATCATAGTTTTCTGTCTGTTAAATGAGAACAATTATGCCTGCTGGAAAACTTGTTTAACATGAAGTCCTTGGAGAGGGACATCATGCTTGGGAGGGTGGAGGGACAGCGCAGGAGAGGAAGGCCCTCTATGAAGTGGATTGATTCAGTGACTGGGATAATTGGGATGGGAGTGTCAGAGACGGTGCGATTGGCACAGGACAGAGCGGAGTTTAGGGCTGTTGTATATAGGGTCGCTATGAGTCGCAGGCGACTCGATGGCACATAACAACAACATCAAATGTGAAACCACTTTGTCCATTCAGAATGTGGGAACTGAGTTTTACTGTTATTAATTGCCAATGGGATAAAGCTATGAAATTGCTTACACTGATTTCAGTGACTCTCTTCTTTTTTTAGAATCCTGATACAGTCAAGGCCAAGCTGATTTCTCGGATGGCCAAAATGGGCCAACCCATGCTGCCCATACTTCCACCTCAGCTGGATTCCACTGATTCAGAAGTTGAAGTATGTTCCATCTTTTATTTCTTTGGTTGAAATTATAATTCCTTTTTTTCACATTGTAAGTATATTTTAATCTGATATTCCTTGTATTTATAGATTGCTTCCTTTCACTCTTAAAAAAACTACCATTTGTTATAATATTCCCATGTGAAACTCATGTTCCACGCTGGTGTAATTGTAAAGCATTACCTGTAATGTCAATAAAGATCACTTTTTAGGTATGCCCAATCCAAAGCAAGTGCTCCCTGTAATTTTAATTATATAATCTTAAAAATAAAGGTTAACACCCCCCCTAACATTTTAAAATAGTACCTGGCCATTGTAGGGTAACATAAATCATAAAGAAGAAATGTATTTCACAAAAGGACATTCTTTATGTATTGTTTTGTAACCTGATTTTTAGCTTAAAATTATATCATGAATATTTATGTAACAAGAAGTATATTTGCATTAATTAATTTAAAAGTAATCCAGTATTATAATATATTGATTTATCAGAATTTCTTTCACTTTATTGTTAGATATTTAGGCTAATTTAGATCTATAGTCATCTAAAACTGAGATGTTTTTCCAGAAAAGAATATCAGGTTGAGGAGATATTCTAAAACAAAACTTTGTCAAAGAGTTTTTAACCCTTGACCTGTAAAAACCCCACTGCTATCACATCACCTCTGACTCACAGCGATGCTGTAGAATAGAGGAGAACCGACTCATAATCTCCAAGGCTGTTGATCTTTACAGAAGCAGGCTACAGCCTTTTCTTCTACAGAGTGGCCAGGGGATTCAACAAGGCCAGCACTTAACCACTGGGACTTCTTTAAGCTATAGCAGATCACAGTCTTCATATATTATACTTCAAGATTTTTTTGTTCCTTGTTGAAAATAGATATTGATAAGATAATTTTGCTTAGATATATAGTACAGGCCAGCTTGCCGTCCCTAAAGCCCATTGCCATCTAGTTCATTCCGACTTCCAGTGCAGAAGAACTACCCTCATAAGATCTCCAAGGTTGTAAATCTTTACAAAAGCAGACTGCCCCGTCTTTCTCCTGCAGCATGACTGGTCCATTTTGGCTAGAAAGTACGCACATAATCACTGCGCCATCAAGACTCTTTCTTTGAACTGTGTTGTTTGAGTTGATTCCAACTTATAGCAACCCTGTGTACAGCAGAACAAAGCACTGCCCATATATCATCCTCACAATTGCTGGTGTACTGGAGCCCATTATTTCTTTTTCGTTTGTTTGGTTTTGAGTGTTTATAATTTCTATTTTATATTGGTTTGTTTACAAAGTTTATATACATTGTGTTTCACAATATCCTTGAGCCCATTATTTTATTGTATTGTTTTAGAGCTAAAAATGCAAAGTGTGTGAACCAGTCTCTTCATCCCCTCCTCCAGAGAACATACTTGATACACTTCTTCCGAGACAGATTGTTCTTTTTGTTAGTCTGTGGTATATATTCATTATTCTTTGCCAGCACCACAATTCGAAGACATCAATTCTTTAATCCTCCTTATTCATTGACCAACCTTCATAGGCATTTGAAAAGGCATAAGAGGCACTTGAAAAAACCATGGCTTGGACCAGGCACACTTTAGTCATCAAACTGATATGCTTGCATTTTAAAAAGGTCCTTTGTAGCAGATGTGCCCACTATCATATCTCGTTAATTTCTTGACTATTACTTCCATGTTAATTGATTGTGGACCAAAGTAAAAGGCAATCTTTGACAACATCAGTCCTTTCTCCATTTATCATGATGTTGCTTATTGACTAACTATAAACACTTTTGTTTTCTTTATGTTGAAGTGTAATCCCTACCGAAGGCTAGAGTCTTTGGTCTTTTTTAAAAAAAATTATTATTAATTTCAATGAAAATGTACAGAGACTTTGGATTTCCATTCATTCATTGTTACACTTTTCTCCCCTCCCAACTCTCCCCTCTAGTACATTACCCTCTTGGAAAAGTAAAAGAAAAATTCTTTCATTGTTTTACAATCCCTCCCCCCAGGTCCACTCCACTATACAGCCTTCGCTCTGGACTCCTGTCATGACAAAAATACGTAATCACATATCCCTTTTAAACATTTTTCTCCCTCATATGTTTCAATGCAGTATATTGAACGCATCTTTCTCAGTCTCCCCCAAACCCCAAGGTCAGTCTTACTTTACAGCAGTGGCACCATGCAGTATTTGTCCTTTTGTGACTGAGATATTTCACTCAGCATAATGCCCTCCAGGGTCACCCATTTTGAATAATATTGCATGAGTTCCTTGCTTTTCAATGCAACATAGTATTCCATTGTGCGAATATAACACAGCTTCTCTATCCATTCATTTGTTGATGGGCACTTAGGTTGTTTTCCACTCCTTGCTATTGTGAACAATCTGCTATAAACATGGGAGTGCATATATCTGCTTGGACGTCAGTTATGGTCTCTTTGGGGTATATTCCCAGTAGTGGAATTGCTGGGTCAAATGGTATCTCTATTTGCAACTTTTTGAGAAAGCGCCATACCGCCTTCCACAGTGGTTGCACCATTTTACACTCCCACCAACAGTGAATAAGGGTTCCAGTTTCTCCACAACCTCGCCAGCATTTGTTGCTTGCTGTTCTGTTAAATTTTGCAATTCTGACTGGGGTGAGATGATATTTCATAGTTGTTTTGATTTGACTCTCTCTTAGAACTAGGGATTTTGAACATTTCTTCATGTGCTTGTTAGCTATCTGAATGTCTTCTTTGGTGAACTGTCTGTTCATATCCTGTACCCATTTTTCTATTGGATTATTTACCTTTATCTTGTTGTGGTGCTCAAATATTTTATAAATTCTGGATATAAGTCCCTTATCTGATATGTCATTACCAAATACTTTTTCCCAGTCTGTGGCTTCCCTTTTTACCCTGTTGGAGAAGTTTTTGGATGTGCATGGGGATTTGATTCTTAGAAGATTACATTCATCTATTTTATGTTCTCCTGGTTGTAGATTTTTCAGGATACTTGGAAGACTGTTTATGTTCTGGATTAGGACTTCTAGCGTTCTTCCAAGCTTTTCTTTAATGAAGATTATAGCCCTTGGTTTTAGTCTTAGGTCCATGATCCACCTTGAGTTGTTTTTTGTATATGGAGTGAGGTGTGGATCTTGCTTGAGTCTTTTGCATATACATTTCCAACTTTGTCAACACCATTTGTTAAAAAGGCTGTTGTTTCCCCACTTAACTGAAAGCCTTTGGTCTTAATGCTTCAAATAATAGCCATTTCAGCACATTGTGTCATCTGTGTATTTCAGGTTCTAATCCCGATGCTATGTTCTTCATCATATAGTTTAACTTCTCAGATTATAAATGATAGCAAATCACAAAGTCTGCATATTGTACCTCAAGATTTTCTGTACCTTGTTTAAAATAGAAAGATATGTGTAGGATAACTTTGCTTAGAGTTATAGTAAAGACCAACATATCTTTGATTTTTATTAAAAGAAAGAAAAAGGAGTGAAACTGAAATTATATTATTCCAAACCAGCAGTAAGTATTTTGGGCCCTCTTTCAGTAGAGATCATGGCATGAGGAACATCATTGATAATATCAGATAGACCTTAACTGAAAGCAGAGAATACCAAAAAGATGTTTACTTATGTTTTATTTACTAGCCAAAGACATTTGATGGTATCGATAGTGATAAATTAGGGCTAACATTGAGAAGAATGAAAATTCCAGAACACTTAATTGTGCTTGTGCAAAACCTACACACAGACCAAGAAACAATCCTCCAAACAGATGAGGGAATTCTGAATGGTTAAAAATCAGAAAAGGTGTACATCAGAATTGTATCCTTTATTTATACCTATTCAATTTGTATCCTGAGTAAATAATTTGAGAAGCTGGTAATATGAAGAATGTAGCATTAGGACAGGAGAAAGACTCATCAACAACCTATATTTTACAGATGACACAATCTTACTTGCAGAAACAGGAAAACTGGAAGCGCTTAATCAGAAGATCAAAGATTACAGCTTTCAAGATGGATTACATCTCAATATCAAGAAAACAAAAATCCTTGTCACTGAACCAATAGGCAACAGCATGACAGATGGAGAAAACATTGAAGTTGTCAATGATTTTATTTTACTTGGATCCACAATCAACATCCATTACAGCAGCTGTCAAGAAATGAAACGATATGTTACATTGGAGAAATATGCTCTTAAGGATCTCTTTGAAATGCTAAAAAGCAACATGTCAGTTCAAAGGCTAAAGGTATGCCTGATCCAGGTCATAGTATTTTTAGTTGTTTCATATACATCTGAAAGTTGGACACAGAATAAGAAAAAGCAAAGAAGAATCAATGCCTTTGGACTGTGGTTTTGAAGAATACTGAATATCCAGTGGACTGCCTATAGAACAGGACTGCCTGGAGACTGGAGTGCCTGAACAAAGGCTGTTCAATCAGGGTGCGCTTTGGAGGCAAGGATGGTGCAACTTCATCTCACATGCTTTGAGCATGTTGTCAGGAGGCAATGGTCCTTGGAAAAAGACACCCTTCTGGGAAAGGAAGAGAGTCACTCAAAGAGAGGAAGGCCCTCAAGGAGATGGATTGACACAGGGATGGTGGTGCAAGTTAGGGCAAGGTTTTGTCATCTTGATGGGTCACTGTGAGCTGTTGTCAACTTGACTACACCTAACGACAATAGCAACAACTTTGGAGGGATACTGGAAAAAACAAACATTGTTATATTTCCCACTTGTGTGGAGAAGGACTAGATTAATCATTGTCACTAATGGTTTGGAAAATGATACATTCTGACATCTGGCATTTTTGCTGCTACTGCTCATAAAACACAACAACCTATGTTGTTTAAGGAAATTAACTATATTTAGTTTGCTTACATGATTTAAAGAGAGAAGAGAATTATTGCAGTAGAGTATATGCTTTTTTCCTCCATAATCCAAGAGTTGAACTCTTGGTTTTCTGCTTGTCTTTCTTTCCTCTTCTTTGTCTAGAAACTGTGTTGCAGATATACTTAGGTTGGACCATAGTCTCAAACTTTAATTAAGGACTGATACAGAGTAACCAAAACCTGTGTTTTGTTTAGGATGTGAATACCCTTCGAGGGAATGGCCAGCCAGTGGTAACACCATCCATCCAGCCCTCTCTTCAGCCAGCCCATCCAGTGTTACCGCAGATGACCTCACAAGGTAAGGAACCGCTCTAAGGCTCTGTGACCTCGACTGGGTTAGAATCACAGTTATCCTCACTATTTGTAAGTTGTTTCGTTGCATTGTTTTAGTATTAAGAATTAGGGCTAAAGTTAAGTTGTCATTTGTCCCTGAGTAGGGGATATTCAGAGCTGCAGATACACTTGGTGTGCTTGCTGTGTCTTTAGCTATGCTACTTGGCTGGTTTTGGAAATCTGCATTCAGCTAACGAGACGTCTTCCAGTGTGTTATTCTGCACTTCCTGTCAGCCACAATGGGATCATAAATCTGAGTCAAAAGCACATGAGAAAACCCAGATTCCTTCTACTCTCCCAATGCTGAAAATCAAGTAGATTTGGCTCTGGGAGGCTGGGGGAGGAAAGTAGGCAAGTGTGAAATATGACAAAAGTAAAGTACTAGCACTGAGAAGAAGCGTGAGGGGGTAACAGGGACAATCTCTTGCTTTATCTTAGTGCCTCAGCCATCTGCTCCTGGGCTCCGAGCACCTTCTGCTGCCTTAATGCAGGTTGCATCTCTTGATTCCCACTCAGCTGTATCAACAAATGCCCAGTCCTTTCAGGTAACAGCATATTGATTATGTGTTTTCATTTATTAAGATCCTAGATATTTTCCTTTCTACTCCCAAGTTCATACAGTAGCAGTTACCAAATGTTACAGTTTATGATTTTTTCTTTTTCCCAAACCAGTTTTTCTTATCTATAAACTAGACAAATCTTTTTTTAAGATTTACTTTACTAGGAAGCAAAGGCCTTGTTGATCTTCTTGTTGTTTATGTTGTCAAGTTGGAACCTACCCATAGCTGACCCCTGATGCAGTAAGTCACATGGGAGGAGACTGCCCGTCTTTTTCTCCAAAGAGCAGTCAGTGGATTCGAACTCTGTGCCTTTGACTTGGCAGTGCACTTCCTTACGACTAAACCAACAGAGCTGCCCTTTTTGCTGGACGTGGAGGTTTTATGGAAAATAGTCCTCTAGTTATCCTCCAAAACAGTCTCTGAAAGTAGGCTCTCTTACGTCTGCCCCTGCTGACTGCTAGGGTAATAGAAGTTTCTTTTGAACATAGCTGGTGGAGAAGACTCACTTCCACAGATAACAACAGTTCACTTCCTCATTGTTCCCTAAGGGAGGAGGCTAGTGGTGGAAGTGGTCCCTCAAACTGAAGAAATATTATGCCTTTGCCCTTCTCCACTTCTCCACCCCTCAGTGGGGAATTACTTTTCTTTTGGATAAGATTTTCTTATAATAGATGAGCAGTCAGGATTTTTTTATTTCAAAGGAGACTCATCAAGGTTCTATCATTAGAAGAATTTGTCTGTTGAGTGTTTATTGTTTACTAGGCACTTACCAATTATTAGAAACGTCATAATTTTGTTTCATTAACACAGCTTTCTTTTTTTAAAAAAATTTTTATTTTATTTTATTATTTTTGCATGTACCGTCAAATCAGATCTGACTGGTGGTACAGGAGGAGATTGTCCCTTCCTTCTTTTTTTTTTTTTATTTTGTGTGCGTGTACCGTCAGATCAGATCTGACTGGTACAGGAGGATATTGCGCCTCCTTCTCCGGCAGAGCGTCTGGTGGATTCGAACCGTGTTCCTCTGGGGTTGCAGTGCAGTTTCTTGCCACTAGGCCACCAGAGCTCCCTGTCCCTTCCTTCTCCAGCAGAGCATCAAGTGGATTCAAACCACACACCTCTGGGATTGAAGTGCAGCTTCTTGCCACTAGACCACCAGAGCTCCCTAACACAGCATTCTTACGAAGTGATACTATCTTCTTTTCTCAGTCTTATTGAGACTGAGGGTCAAAGGAAAATGAAACACTTGATCTCAAGATCAGTGTCAGAAGGATACAAAGGAACTGCCATGGCTTTGGAAACTTGTGGATTTTAGTTTCGAACCTCAGTAAACACTTCTGCTTTTACTTCATAACTAAGCAAAATTTGCTTAGCTGTGAAAGTAATCCTGATATCTGGGAACTGAATTCCTACCTAAGTCATATAACCCAAGAACTAGATAGTGACTCAGTATCACTTTCCTATGAAAGGTAGATAGCTGTTTAGTGAGGGGGTAATGTTAGGTCATGTAGCAATGCCTCCTGCTCCAGTGCTCCTGATGTCATCCTGCTCCAATTGTTGTAAATTTCAATTCCCTCTGATCTTAACTCCATTAAGGGAAAATGTAAGCAAAAGAGAAAGAAGTGAACATTTTTAGAAAGCAGCTGTAACTGTCTTTTCAGCCCTATGCAGGTATGCAAGCCTACGCTTACCCTCAGGCTTCAGCTGTCACTTCCCAGCTGCAGCCTGTTCAACCTTTGTACCCAGCACCAGTCTCTCAGGCTCCCCATTTTCAAGGTAAGGATTAATCCCCTCAATTTCTCATCTTCCACCCTTGCTGTAGTCTCCTTCCTCCCATCTTTTTAAAATGTTTTAACTCCAGTAGCTCTCTATCTTTTCTTTTTTAAAAACAACTTTGTTTAAGCTGTTTTATTGAGGTATAATTTACACACCATAACATTTACTCATTTAGATTTACAGAGATGTGCAGCTGTTACTACTACCCAGCTTCCAGCATCCCCCTATGATTCTTCTTGCTTGCTTAGGACCATAGTCTCAGGTCGTCTAGATCAGTTGGCATAATGTGGGACATTAAGACTGTATTAGAAATCCTCCTTTGGTGAGTAGTGACGGAGGTCTTAGCTTGCGAGCAGCTTGTGATACAGTTATTGGGCTCTTCTTGCCTGGAATAAGAAAGAGTAAAGAAAATCAAAGACTCAAGGAAATAAGTAGTCCAGAGGATGAATGGACGATGGCAGACCACAGCCATTGCTGGCCTGCACCGGATGAACTAGATGGTGCTAGTAACTACCATTGCCAGTCACTCTGTTCAGAATCACAATAAAAGGTTGTGGACGGGGGGTGGGGTGGGTGGGGGGAAATGAAGAATGACATTTAAAATCATGATACAAAAACCAAACTAGAGTTACTAGTCTGATAGGGATTCACTAATCCCTATGATTTTATGACCCTAGGACAACCTTCAAAACTGGGACTGAACCCACTGCTAAATACTGCTTTTTAGCCAAACAGCAGATTGGCCCGTATATTGAAGAGGAAGAAGTGGGGAAAATGCTGTTATATTCAGGGGCAATGATTTGCTTTGTACATTTTCACCACTCAATAAAATGTTCAAAAAATAAAATATTGAAAAGTGTTCTTCAGAGAAGGAAAGTGAGATGAACCAGAAACCTGGATTATACAAAAAAAGGAAGAGTATGAGAGAAGGGAAAAAGATCAAAACAGTGGAGAAAATTGGGGGACAGAATGAAGACTTTGCGGATAGTATTTCAGATGATAGGTACTTTGTAAAATTTCTTAAATCGGGAAAATTATATTATCTAATGTAAAAATTCAGAAAGTGTAAAAGGGTGTACTGCCTTTTTCCAGCACTGAAATCCTCTGACCAATGGAAGCTATTGTTACTGGTTGCTTAAATAGTTTTCTCCATTATTTTCTATACCTGAACAAATGTGAATGTTTTGTGTGAAAAACAAAAGAAATGAAAATACAAGCAGTTGGGATAGTATCCTGTCTTTCTTGTTCTGCAACTTGCCTTTCTCACCTTAATCACCTTTGGACATTAGGAAGAAGAAACTAGTGTATATTTTTTGGTGGGTTTTATTTTTTCCTATGTTGTGTAAACCAATTAATTTAAAGAAAACTCTAGTATACATATATAGCAGAGCCAACAAGGGCTTTATAAGCTTCTTTTAATAGTGAATGTGACAACATCATTGACAGTTCCATTATGATCAAGGGTTTCCTTGATGTAACCTTTTCTGTATGCCCTCCCTTCTTCATCTGGGAAAACTTTTCATCCATCAAAACTGTTATCTCCTTTATGAAGCCATCCCTGAGATTTCTCCATCCCTCTTTCCCTCCCAGAGATATTATCATGATCTAGATCATCAAGGAATTATTTTTGTTATCATCTGCACTACTTTTGTACCTTGTCTAGGTCATTTTTAACCTAAGAACATTATTGTAAATGATGCTTACCAAGGGCAGGAGCCATAGTTTATTCATTGCTGTATCCTAGTACCTGGTACCATGCCTAGCATGCAAGTAGATGGATGAGGAAGCCCACAGTGCTGTAGTGGTCCAAAGAGGGCATACTTGTTTCTGCAGCCCATATGTAGCCCTTGATGCGTTTTTCAGGTAGCCCTTGATGCAATTTTTCTGTTGTTAGCTTTGGCATCTACCAACTCCTCTGCATCTTCTGACAGTATAAAAGCACCTACTGTGTTTCGTAGTATGTTGAACTATTCATTTCTTTCTTTGCTCTACTGAAAATGCTGCTGACTTTTCTTTATACAATATCCTCTGCTCCTGTTTTATTTGTTTCTTTTTGGCTTATGTCACTTTAGGTTCAGTTGACATGGCTTCATTTCTCATGACTGAAGCCCGGCAACAGAACACGGAAATTCGAATGGCAGTCAGTAAAGTGGCAGATAAAATGGATCATCTTATGAGTAAGGTGATTGAGTCAAGACTGGGGATATGCTGAAATTGTAAAATTGGGATGTGAAAAAAAGTGATATAAATAGCAAGCAAGCAGAGGTATAATAAAACTCTTCTTTGGTTTTCTATATTCAGAAATAACTGCTACTGTTCTTAACTACTTGTTAATAATGAGCGCTATAACTTGTAGCTGTCATGTTGGAACCAACTCATAAGTGACCTTGCATTGGGTTTCCAAGGTTGTAAATCCTGTAGAAGAAGATTGCCCATCTTTGTCCCTCTAAACCACTAGTGAATTCAAACTGCCAAAAATCTTGGCCTTTAATATAGCAGCACGAGTTCCTATGGTCTGTGCTACTTGGGCTCCCTAACTACTGGGTAGGTGGTAGTTACTTCCCTCAAAGGATAGTTATTACCATTTTGAGATCCAATTAGCACAGTTCCTTCACAGTTAAAGATTGTCTTAGAAACTCATAAGCCCCTTTAAAAAAGTGGTCAGATCTTGGGTTAATTTATTTTCCCCCATCATATTTTTTGGCACCCACCCCTTGTGTAGGTTGAAGAGTTACAGAAGCATAGTGCTGGCAACTCCCTGCTTCTCCCTAGCATGTCTGTTACAATGGAAACAAGCATGATTATGAGCAACATCCAGCGAATTATTCAGGTAAGGGTCATCAAGGTCAAAACACTCAGCTTGAGGTCTTGCCCATGCTCTTACCCCAGATGTACTGCCTTTTCAAGAGCACAGCACTGAGAAAACTCTAGAGTATATAAAATGACTTAATTTTATTAAAGTGACTTGGGAATTCTTTCTGACCATATTTCAGAATTTGATTTCATTTTGCTTTCTATTCACTCCATCCACTAGCTTTGTGATTTGTATCTGTTGAGCATTATGTATTGTTTTTAAGCATTATATCTGCATGGAAATGAGCTTTAGTTTTTCTCTAAAATAGTTAATACTGTCACCTGTCCATTAGTGTTGATTCCTGTATCTAGCATTTTTGTCTAAAGAAGCTTCAATTGTACATGACACATTTTTAATTTAGGAAAATGAAAGATTGAAGCAAGAAATTCTTGAAAAGAGCAGTCGGATAGAAGAACAGAATGACAAGATTAGTGAACTAATTGAACGAAATCAGAGGTAATGACAGGTACGGGGCACTGGCTTGCATGGACAAAAAAGGTTTCATTTATAAATCTTGATGTTTAAATAGACATGTTTGTTTAGAGAAATAATTCTATGTGTATTTGCAATTTCTGTCTCCTGACTTGAATTTGATGTTTTTGGTGATGTTAGGCAGATCTGTGTTTCAATCCCAGAGCTGCCCCTCATTTGTGGTGTGATTTTGAGCATTTTAATTATTCATTTCCTATTTAGTCTAGTTTTCTTGTCTGTGAAAATGGTGTTAATACTTAGAAACCCAGGTTATCAATTCTTCTTTCTGTATGAGTTTACTTTCTGAATCAGAAATTCACTGATTTCCTTGACAAGACAAACTTTATAATTTTTGTGGATCCTCCTAAAGAGTTGTAGAGGCTATAGGGTGATGTTGCAGTAGCTAGCAAGCCTTTTAAAAAAAATTAGTCTTTCTTTTTTTAAAATTTTATTTTTTAATTTTTTTTTGTGTGTACCATCATTCAGATTCGATTGGCACTGGAAGAGATTGCCTCTCCTTCTCCAGCAGAGCATCTGGTGGATTCGAACTGTGTACCTTTGGGTTTGCAGTGCAGCTTCTTGCCACCAGGCCACCAGAGCTCCCTAAATTATTCTCTTTTAAAAAAAAAAGAAAAAAAGAAAAAATTTTTAGGAAGAAAAAAATAACAAAGAAAATTATTCTCCTGTATTTCTTTTCTCTAGCATATCTTTTCTTCCACATCCTGGAGGCAGGTATAGTGGGGCTCTCTTTTCTTCTCTTTCTTGTAGATTGCTTAACTCCTATTTATTTCTTTCTTGATTCTTCCTTTCTCTTTTGTGTGTGTGTGTGTGTGTGTGTGTATACACACACACACACGTACGTATATACAGCAGTTCATCTATGTCAGTTTCCTCCCACCAAACTGTATTCATGCAGTGATAATGGAAACAGTGCTTTCAGATTGGTTTTGGTATGACTACAGAGCATTGTTTTGAAGACTGAATGAATATGTGTTGGGTTGTGTGTGTCATAGTAATATTAAGTGCTTAATGAATGTTTTGTTTTTTCTCTATGTATTTTACAGATATGTTGAGCAGAGTAACCTGATGATGGAGAAGAGGAACAACTCCCTTCAAACAGCCACAGAAAACACACAGGCAAGAGTTTTGCATGCTGAACAAGAGAAGGTAAACTAACTGAGCATAGAACAGCACAGATCAAGATGGGTGGTACTAAGAAGTGGTCCTATGTATGTAATTACCAATCTGCTTTTGGCATCATTGGGATGAGATTAAGGATTAGAAATATGCTAACATATTTTCCGGTGACCTTTGAACAATGGAGATTTGAACTGTACAGGTCCATTTAATATGCAGATTTGTTTTTTGTTAATATTTCATTGAACTCAAATGTTTCCATTATCTGCATCAAATGCCTTTTGACAATTAAATGATTTCTACATGAACAATTTGTCTCTTCACTAAATTGCACATCACAGTGAAAATTATTTTTAACTGGGGAGAAGGGACTGCAGCATCCTTACACCCCTTGTTCAAGAGTCAACTGTATAACCACCCTCCAGCTTTCATAATATACTTTATAATAAATTTACTACAAAACAATTACTATCAGTAATTTGATTAAGATAAGAATTATATAACTTATTTGAAGCCAGACTTACTCTGTACTTAAAATCACCAGAAAAAAATAATCTATTGTGTCAAGTAATGGATATGCAATATTGTTTTTAGTGAAATTTGAGACTGTTTCATTTATGCCTACATCTGTATCTGTCAAAGTATGTTAAGCTGTTTGACTTCAGGCATTTCCAAACCGGGAAATTCCATCTGTTCTTGGAGCAGTTGGACTTCTCCATTCGGTCTTGGGTTATGACAGATTTGTATAAAACCTCTGCCTCTGCTTAATCTAGTTACACTAAATGTCTGGAATGAAATCTTTCTTGCTGCGGCAACCACTCCTCCTCTGATAGATCTTGTCTCTGTCTTTTATCTGCTGCTTCTCATATGCTGGAAAAATAGTTTCGGTTGGGTTGTTGGTTTATTTTACGTTTTCCTTGGAAATGTAAAAAGTTGAATGGATTCACTTTATAAACTGTAGCGTTTACTCACTTTTCTCATTAATGATGAAGTTGCCTTATTATCACTTAAGGTAATCTTCTTTTGTTTTCTTAGCAATAGTATCAAGGCAAGTAATATCCTTGACCTCTTACTTCATCCCTTGTTGTGGCTGAAAGCTAATGGCAAGATCAAGATAGGAAGCCTCTGTGATCTTGCTACCACTGGGGAGTATTGGAGTTACTTTATCATGCTCCATTAAATATACATATTACAGACTTTCCTTCCTCTGCCCTTTAATCTTACTTCTCTATTCGTTTTTATTTTTATTTTCCTTCCTTAGACCTGTCTTGAGCATTACAGATCTATTATTTGACCTAGCTATTTGAATTTGACCCAGTGCCTAAATCTGAACTTTGAAAAATCTGTTGATAATCATAATACATAGCCAGGTATCAGAATCTTTGCTACTATCAGTCATTTATTAGCCACAATCTCTGCAGGTGGCAGCTGAACGTCTGTGTTTTTAGTGAGTTCACCATGTGACCATCATGCTGAGTATCAGTGGTGTTTGTTCCAGTAAAACATTATTTATAAAAACAAGCAGTCTGCTGCTTTGGTCCATGTGCTACCGTTTGCCAACCCCTGAATCAACTCATTAAATCACTTAAATGTCTTCTGTTGGTAAAACCCGAAGATGTCTAGTACAGTACACTGAATCCAGTAGAAGCTGTTTCTGTAGTAGCAAAACCAGTAATAATAGTAATAACAACAACACAGATAGCAAATATCTGTCAAGACCCACAAGGTTCCAGGCACCATTCTTTATATAAATCTTTTCATAGATCTGGGTATGGGTTTTACTGCTTTGGATTTCACTGCTCTTAATGAATAGGTTACCAAGTACCACTTACTACATGATTCACTGCCTTCAAACCACCTCAGAAAGTTGTGATTAAGTTCAATACATATTTGGGAAATGAAAGTAGTAATTTCTGCTCTATGACGGGATTATTACCACATAAAACCCTCAAATAATGATTAAAACTGGAAGAGCTATTAGAGTTGCTTAAGTTATTTAATGCTTCCATAACAGATGTAACACAAATGGATGGTTTAACAAGCAGAAATTTATATGCTTATAGTGTAGGAGATGAGAAGTCCGTTTCAGGGCACCAGCCCTACAAGGTCTTTCCCCTTCCCCCTTTTTTTGGTTCAAGGAGCAGGTTCTCTCTCTCTTCACCTTCTGTTTCTTGGTATCTTGGTAGCCTCATGTGGTGGACATTTATCTTCCTCCAACCTGCTTGCTTGCTTAACTGCTCAATCTGTACTTTTTTAGATAGGAAAAAGATTAATGTAAGACACCTTGGTATTACTACCACCTCATTAACAGAAAAAAGAAAACCCATCCTTCAATTGACATGTGTGGAGGTTAGGATTTAGAACATAAGTAAATCTATAAGAGGTCATCTTGTTTAACCTCATTTGACAAAAGAGCAGACTGAGGAAGTTCAGAGAGGGTAAAAGACTTACCGTCAGCCAGTGGCAAAGTTAGTCTTTCTCCTGTGTCCAGTTGCTATTGTCTTTGGGGCCACTCTGCTGCTTCTAATTGAAACCCTTTCCCCCTTGTTTCCCTGAACTCTTGGTTCTTTCTGCCACTGCTTTGTTTTCCCAGGTCTCCATGTTAGTAGTAGAATTTGATCCGTTGTGTAGATTTTTTTGGTTATTTTCCTTTCTCACTTGATATTGCATACCCTTTAAAAAAATATATATATATATTTGTAACTAACTACATAGTATATTTTTTTCTGGTTTAAAACATGCATCTTCTCATTCTAGAAAATAACAAGCAGAAATAAAGTGTAAATTACTCGTAGTCCTTCCTTTTAGAGATAACCACTGTCAATATTTAATGAGCCTTTCATTGTTCTCTCTGTGTATATATATTTGATTGGATGAGAGCATTACTCCTCTTGTCTCTCATAGACTTTTTTTTCTTTCTTATTCAATGTACCGTTGAGTCAGATCCAACTGGCACAGGAGGAGATTGATTCTCCTTCTCCAGCAAAGCATCTGGTAGATTCGAACTGCACACCTTTGGCATTGCAACACAGCTTTTTGCCACTTGCCCACCAGAAGTCCCTTATTATACACATTTATGGAGCCCCTGAATGGTGGAAACTGTTAAATACTCCACTTCTAACTGAAAGGTTGGCAGTTCAGAGGCATTTAGAAATGACTGACAGCCTTAGAGATCTATTTGCTGAAGGTCACAACTTGGATAAGCTCATGAAACCATGTTCTCTGAAGAATGGGGTGATCATGAGTTGGAACAGACTTGATGACAAGTAACAACAGTAGGCCTTGGTAGTTAAGGAACTGATATAAGAGTTTCTGATTTGTCTTCCAGTTTTATGACTACAAAGTATGTCAAGTTTTGATAGACTGCTGCTGTTCCTCGGTGAGAGTGGCCATCCATTGCTTTGCTTGTTCACTGGAGTCTGTCCCTGCTGGTGACCTGCTTCAAAGGTCTTGGAAGAGTGGTGCTTGCACTGGTTTTAGTAAACTCTCTGGACCACAGGTGCTAAGGTGTTTGAGCATTATGTTGATAAAGTGTTCACTACTCCATTTGAGTCAGGACAGTGAACAAAATTTTTATTCTACTCGGAAGAGTAGAATATTTTATTCCACTTGAAAACTTCTCTTATATCTGGAATTCTAGTGACCATAGTTCTCTGTTTATAACAGTGAAGACCTAATGCTGCTAAACACTATTTCAGAGCTCACTCTAAAGGTCACACACATTCTCAGACATTCATTCTTCTCATTCATTTTATTTTCTGTTAACAACTTTTTCTTTTTAAAACAAAATCACCTTTAAAAGGAGATTCAAGATAATGGATTTTAAATAGGAGCCTGAGAACTGTTGAGCTCTGGTGGCTTAGTGGTAAGGAATTGTACTGCCAAGGCAAGGGTATATGGTTCCACCAGCTATTCCACGGAAGAATGATGGGCAGTCTCCTCCCCTGATATTTACTGCCTCTGAAAACCAACTGGCGGGTTGGTTCTGATTCAATGGTACACAACAAAGAAAACTGCTAAAGACTTTGAAATAAGGCAAGAAGAAATAATTTTAAATTGACATTGATGTATGGGTTTCTATAAGAAAAAGATAGTAAACAACTATGAAAATGTTTATAGGGTAATAGTAGTTGGTTGTTTGGATTGAAGAGATAGCCCACTATTGTAAATACACCGCTGTGTAAAAGTCAAGACAACCATTGTTTTTCCTGTTGTCTGAATTGTCTTATATGTTGTGGGTGTATATCTGCTCAAGTGAAATGCAATGTGGATCATCCTGGTAAGAAGCATCATCATCACCTTTAATACCTAGAATGTCATAGAGCTTTTCTAGGGTAGACTATTCACCTAAAGAATTTATCATTTTTATCAGATATAATCTAAGAATATTTGGGTCTTTTGGAATAATTTTGAGCTCCTGTTTGTCCTGTACAGAGTAACATATAAGACATATTGAGCAGTTATGGAAGTTGAAGTATTCCCTTCCTTAGGTCTGTTCTGCTAAAGAACCCCAAAGTAGTTATTCTCATACAACTGATGTTTATAATTATTTCAATTCTACTAGTAATAACGTAGTATGAGGCAGAGGTAGCAGATTCAAGCTGGTTTACTTTGGAGGTATTAGTTCATTTCCTAGGAATTCAGTTTGATTTTAACAACCATTGCTGAGTTTGATAGGTGTATAGATTAGAGTCTGGAGGGGGATCTGGTAATGTCTAATAAATTAACTCTTTATCTAGCAGTTGTACTTCTGAGAATCTCTTACAGTCATGTCTATACACACATTTCTATTCAGACAAATAAATAGGAGATACATAGTTTCAAGTTCTCTTTATATAATTTTTTTTTATAAAAATAGAATTATGCTGAAAACTTATTGGATAGTCTTCAATTTGCAGTGGACTATTTCATGTCACTCGGTATTATACAGTGCTATTCTTAATAGATGCATACATCATAGATGTGTTATAATTTGCTTAATCCACTCTAATTTTCCAGAATTTTCTTTTCCTATTCTTTTATGACTACTACAGTGAACATTCTTATGTTATTATTGTATACTGTAGAGTCAGAATTGACCCAAAGCTGACCCTCAGGCTGGTTTTCAGAGGCAGCTAATCACAAGGGAAGCGATTACCCATCTTTCTCCTGTGGAGCAGCTAGTAGCCTCTAACCTCAGGCCTTCAGGATTGCAGCACTCTCTTTTTATTAGGAAAGATTTCTCCCAGGAGGATTCCTGAGCCATGTTTTTGTTCTTAGGTGGCATCAAGTCAACTCAGAGCAACCCTATAAACAGCAGATTAGAACCTTGCCCTGTTCTGTGCCATTCTCACAGTCTCTGCCATCCTTGAGCACATTGTTATAGTCACTGTGTCAGTCCATTGTGTTGAGGGTCATCCTCCATTTCACTGATGCTTTACCTTTCCTGGCGTGATCTTTTCTCCAGACTTTGTCCCTACTGCCCAAAGAATGTGAGACTAAATTTCACCATCCATACCACTAAGTAGCACCTGATTGCTCTTCTAAGACAGATTTGTTCTTTTAGCAGTCCTTGGAATAACTCAGCACTCTTCACCAACACCACAGTCCAAAGAATCACATTGATTCTTCTTTGGTGTTCCTTATTCATTATCTAACTTTCACATACATAGGCATCAATTGAAAATGCCATGGCTTGGCTGAGGCATGTGCTAGTCTTTAAACAGACATCCTTGTTCTTTAGCACTTTGGAGAGCTCTTGAGAGCAGATTTTTCCAACACAATACATCTTTGATTTCTTGACTGCTGCTACCATGACTGTTGATTGTGCATCCAAACAAAGTGAAGATATTAGCAACTTGAATCTTTCCTCCATCCATAGTGATATTTCCTGTTGGTTCAGTGGTGAGGAGTTTCCTTTTCTTAATGCTGAGATGTAGTCCATCTGGAAGGCTCCTGTTTTGATTTTCCAAGTCTTCATCACTTTTTTCCACACAAGATTGTGTCATCTGTAGAACACAGGTGGTTGTTGAGTCTCTCTCCAATCCTGCTGTTACATTCTTCATATCAGCATACAGATTGAATAGGTATGGAAGAGGAATATAACCCTGATGCACAACTGAGGCATGCTTCATCTATTTTTCTGAGCTTGATTTCCACTTAATGAGATTTGAGGTGGTTTCAGCTCCCTGGCTTTCTGCCAATTCAGTTAGCATAGTTACATGAAGTTAGGTTGTTACTTAGAGACAAAGAACACTCATATATTTTAACTTCATTGCTGTTAAGGCCAAGGTGACAGAAGAGCTGGCAGCAGCGACGGCACAGGTTTCACATCTGCAGCTGAAAATGACAGTTCACCAAAAGAAAGAAACGGAGCTTCAGATGCAGCTGACAGAAAACCTGAAGGAGGTCGACCTCCTCAGGAGCCAGCTTGCCAAACTGCAGGCAAAGCTCTCAGGTATGTGTTGATGAGGGAGCTGCAACTTCGCCATTTACATGGAGGCAATTGCAGTTTCCTTCCTCTTTTTTTTTCCCTATAATTATATTTTATTAATTTTCATAAACATTTACAGAGATTTTGGGTTTCCATTCATTCATTGTTGCACTATTCTCTCTACCCTCCTCCCAGTTTGTTCTTGTCCAAATGCCACAGTGCTTGTCAAAGCCAGTTCTGATTAATCTTCTTTGTCAGTGTGTCCTTTGCCATTCCCTATCACTCCTCCCTGAGAGAGACTTCACCCTGAGTCATAAGGAAAAGGGGATGGCATAGTCTCTTAGCTACTTCCTGCTGAAAAGGGATGCTGTGGGTTTCAGGGTGAAGATCTTCTCTCACTACTCTAAAGGGCCCCTTTGGCAGTAGGAAACACATAGACTATTATGGAGATTGATTTTGGAATTTAGATGCACTCTTATTGATTGTGCTTGGCTGTACATGTTCATATCCTTGAAGATGCATCATGGGGGTGCTGCAACCTAGAAGACACAAATTTGACTAACAAGTTATAAGTACATGAGTCAAAAATTATGGAAAAATAAAAGAAAAGATTCTTTCATTGTTTTACAAACCCTCCCCCAGGTCCCCTCCACCATGTAGCCTTCGCTCTAGTCTCCTGTGATGACAGAAATACCTAGTTATATATCTCTTTTAAACAGTTTTCTTCCTCCTCTGTTTCAGTGCATTATACATTATTGAACCCATCTTACTCAGTCTCTCCCCAACCCCAAGGACAGTCCCATTCTACAACAGTGGCATCATGTAATATTTGTCCTTTTGTGACTGGGATATTTCACTCAGCATAATGTTCTCCAGAGTCAACCATTTTGAATAATATTGCATGAGTTCCTTGTTTTTTAATGCAGCATAGTATTCCATTGTGCGAATATACCACAGCTTCTCTAGCCATTCCTTCCTCTTGATCTGCTTAGAACAATGACCATGAAGTTTATGTGGACTCAGCTGAAAATGAAGGTGGAGCAGTATAAGCTTGCCATGACTGTTTTACACAGGGGATAACAAAAGAACTGACGTCTCATTTACAATTTATCAATTGCCATACTTCTTCCTTGGTTAGGGGAAATGTTATCAGAGTATCTTGTACCTACAGTTGCATCATGCCTGGAAAAGCTAACGTACTCCATCAACTGTGTCTCAGTCAAAGTTTAAGAAAGAGATGCTAACAGCAGCGGTTGCCTGTGTCCCAGAGGATGATTACAGTTCCTCAGGCTGCTGCTCAGGGCTCCCCAGCTTGTCTCTGTATACTGTATGTATAGTGCTGCCTTACATTATACTGCCCATTCCTTTTTGTTTTCCTCTCTGTATTTCCTATTTCCATTTGTTCTCCTTTCCTTCCCTGTTCATTTTGGGTTTGCATGTACCAGCTAGCCTACTGGCTGCTCTTCTAGTGCTTCCTGTCATTCTTGTCTTTTTTTTTTAGTCTTATGTTTTATAGATTTTACATACCCAACATTTTCAATGTTTTATTCTAAATCTTTATGAAGTTCTGCTTCTTTTCAAAGATGCTTTCAGAACACTTGACCTTTCCTTAACAATCCTTTCTTTTAGTGCATTATTGCCATTGCCATAGTCATCTTTTAATCAGCATTCTGATATGCCTGTTTTCTCCTTTAGAACAAATTCATAGAGAGCAGGGAAGATGTGTTCCTCATCTTTGTAAAGTCTTTTCTTCCAATTTAGTGCTAACTCAGTGCTGGGCAGAAAAGTAGTGATCACAGTACATGAAGACCACTATGCTGATTCAGTCACCTTGGTGTATGGAAACAAATATGGAAGGGACCAGTGGGCAGGATGAGACTTGAAGCAGGAGTAGGGATAGGAAGAAGCAAAGCTCGCTGGCCTGATAGATGTCAGTTGGTAAAGTGGCACCTTGAAGATTTACACTCTTCTTTGAGAGCACCACCTGGAATGATATGAAACAAACATATGTTGGACAGTGTTAGGTTTGAATGTAGTACAGATATTCTCATCTCTGCTTTTGTGATAGCCTATGAAAATTTCCTCAGGAATGTCCATAAGAGACTTGAAAGTTTCCCAAACAAAATTCATTTTGATGCGTTATATAAATTAAATAAAAATCATTCCCTTTAGCTCTCTTTGAGAAGGAATATTTTGTAAGCAAACTCTTGGTAGAATATCCCAGTTGCTAAGAAAGCTGAGAATACTTCATGCAGGCAGAGAGTTAGGGCCTGGAGCAGTGTGTTAGGATCATGACTGAAAGGGAATTGTAGAGACTTTTTATTTTTAACATGATGTCTGATCACTTAGAACATGCCCTTTTCCATGCTTTGTGTGTAGAAAGTGGCATATATGTAGTGATATGACTTCCTATGGAATAAATAAGACTTAGGAGAGTCAGCTTATGACTTGATAAACCTTATTGCTGGTTAGTGAGGTAATTATGAAAGAAGTGAGTGAAGGATGATCTGGAAATGGTATCATGCAGCTTTCAGAGGGCTGCTGAGGTGCTTGCTTTGGCAGCACATATACTAAAATTGGAATGATACAGAAAAGATTAGCATGGATGGCCCCTCAGCAAGGATGATACACAAAGGGCTGGGTGCGACAGAACCAACTGTCACTATAATTCTCCAGTTAAGTGTGTCTGCTTTTATATACCAGGGCTCCAGGAGACCTCTGATCAAGCACAGTCCAAATTCAAAAGTGAAAAGCAGAGCCGTAAGCAACTGGAACTCAAGGTAACATCTCTGGAGGAGGAGCTAACAGACCTTCGAGCTGAGAAGGAATCTCTGGAAAAGGTTAGTTCTTCAACCCAAGTTTCTCTGTTGGACCCAAGTTGCCAGAATTATTTGTTTAGTATACATGTCTTTTCCTTTTAAATATAATGATATATAATATTGTATCCATCATATAATGAAGCAAAGGATTTGAGTAGATGTTTTGTCAAAAAGGCCACTAAACACATGGAAAGATGCTCTGTGTCTTTAACCATCAAAAATGTGAAGCTGCAATGGGATACTGTGTCCTCCCACGAAAATTGCAGGGAATGGAGAGAAACCAAACTACCAGTGAATGTCAAATGTTGGTGAGGACATGGGAGATTGGAACCCTTATTTTTTTGGTAGTGGGAATGCAAAATAGTACAGCTATTGTGGAACACAGTGTGGTGGTTCCTGGAAAATGGAAAAACAGAACTATATGACCTAGCTATTTCATTCCTAGATATATCCCAAAAAAGGACAGACAGAGAGTTACATTTAAAAAAAAAGGAGAGAGACACTTTGATAGGCCAGTGTTTATTGCAGTACTATCCACCATCTAGTCACCAACAAGGAGCTTGAATATCCATCAGCAGATAAATGGACAAACGAAATAGGATACATATGGAGGGACAGTGCAGGAGAGGAAGACCCTCCTTAAGGTGGATTGATTCAGAGACTGGAGTAATGGGGGTGGGTGTGTCGGAGACAGTGAGACTGGCACAGACAGAGCAGGATTAGGGCTGTTGTACATAGGGTCTCTATGAGTCTCAGGCGACTTGACAGCACATAACAACATGGTACATACATATGGTATACTCTTCAGTCAACAGGAAAAATGACATCCTGATACATCCTACAATATGGATAGTTTGAAGACATGCTGTAAGAAATAAGCCTATCACAAAAGGACAACTATTGTGGAACTTCACTTACATTTAAAAAAAACAACACAACAAAACTCAAACAAGAAAATATTGAGACTAAAGTTTATTAGTGGTTACCAGGGATTGGAGGGAGGGGCAAGCAAAGAGTTTGTTGTTGTTGTTGTTGTGTACTGTCAAGTCAGAACCTACTTATAGGTGACCCTCCAGTGGCAGTAAATCCCACAAGTACATAGCTCATCTTCTCCCTCCAAGCAGCTGGCAGATTTGAACTGTGTTCCTTTGGATTGCTAGTACAACTCCTTACCACTCAGCCACCAGAGCTCCCTGATTATTGTAATTCCCTTCAGTAAGTTATGTATCTATAAAAAAGTTGAATTTTTTCAAAGGAAAAAAAGAGACATATACTCATTGTAACAAATGGAAATAACATAGAAAATTATAAAGAACAGTTTCTCTCTTTTCCCCTTTCTTACCTCTTATATTCAAAACTCGCTGCCGTCAAGTTGGTTCTGACTCAAGGTGACCCTCTGTCGGGTTTCTGAGGCTGTACATTGTAATGGTGAGAGACTTCCCAGCTTTCTCTGGAAGCACCAGAGACACAGCCTTTAGATGAGCAGCTAAACTTGGTACAGACTCTGCTACCAGAGCTCCCAAAGGAATACAAAGTAGCTGCCTTTCCGTTCTTTCTCTTAATCCCCTTTATGTTCTGGAGACCCATATATCCTGCTACCACATTTCTGTTTTACTTACACTAGTTCAGTTAGGTTGTAGTCTGTGAAATCAAGAGTCTTAACTATGATAGTGTCAGGTTTTCTCCCTGTCCCCAAAAAAGTAGAAAAGGCATATAGCAGAAGTATGTCAGATTCCCTGTCTCTGAAGAGTATGTTACATGGCTAACAGTGAAGACAGAGCAGTAGCAATGAGGCTGCTGAATAAAGGATCAGCAGTGGGATGAAGCAGGAGCACTATCCTGAGAGGCAGAAGAGCCAGTTCATGGGACTGTCTCTACCAGGGAGACCGAGGGATCTTGGGCAGGTTCACTCAAGTCTATGAGACCCATTTCCCCACCCATCTGTGCAGGGATGTTCAGAATATTGTCATAGGAAATGCATTCTCTCTCTCTTTGTCATTGCTGCTGAATCAGAACTAACTCATAGCTGACCTTCCCTTGGGTTTTTAGAAACTCTAAATTGCACAGGAGGAGATTGCCCTTGCTCGGAGGAGCTGCTAGGGTTCAAACTGCTATAGATGCCACCTGTGGATTAGCAACACATTCCCTTCCCACTAAGCTACCAGAGCCACATAGGAAATACATTCAGGGTAACAAAAGCTACATTAAAGGTAAAAGTAAACAGTGTGTTCTTCAATTTGTTTTCTCTGTGTATGAAACATACATATATAGATAGACATAATATTTATCAATAGAGTATGTTTAATGATCTCTCTTTTTAACTTCCATACATTGTACTCCCTAAGTACATACAGATCGTATTCTTTTTAACTACTATGTAATAATCTGTTCTGAAGCTGTAGCATATTTTAGGGAGCTCTGATGGTGTGGTCCATAGGGAGTTGCGCTCCTAACCCCAAAAATAGCCATTCTTCCAGAGGTTCCCAGCAAATCTGGGAGAGAAAGATAGTCATCTCCTCTAGCGTGATTTACAGCCTCTGAAACCCTGCTGGAGAGTCAACAGTGAGTCCGTGTTGACTTGAGAGAAATGAGTTAAAGTGGGTTTTTTGTTGGTTTTTTTTTACATTTTCTTTTTTATTATTATTAATAATTTTAATGAAAATTTACAGAGATTTTGGATTTTCATTCATTCATTATTGGAGTTAAAGTGTTTTAAGTTTTATTTGCCTATTCATGTATATTTGTTTCCTTCTTTTTTTTTTTTTTACAATTTCAAGCATTGCTGCAGTGGACATCCTTATACTGTATTTTTTAAAACTTTGCTGAAGTATTTCTATAGCATAAATTCCTTGAAGTAGAATTGATAATCAGAAATAATTTTACACATTTTCATTTTTTATAAAACAGATTATTCCCAGAAACAGTGTGCTAACTTGCACTTCTTGCATCATCTAAGCATGTTCATTTCTTTTTAACCTTTTTACACTGCATATATTATCAATTAGAAGGGTGGAGGAACAGCACAAGAGAGGAAGACCCTGGATGAGGTGGATTGACTCAGTGACTGGGGTAATGGGGGTAGGTGTGTCAGAGACAGTAAGGTTGGTTCAAGATAGAGCAGGGTTCAGAGCTGTTATACACAGGGTCACTATGAGTCATAAGCAACCCAACCGGACATAATGATAACAACAATCTTATTAGTCTGATACGTGAAATCTGGTATCTTGTTTTAATATACATTTTTTTTAGTAGTGAAACTTTCATATATTTGAATTTCTACTGTGAATTCTGTTTTTTTGTGTGTGTGAATTCTATTTTTAGTGTCCTATGCTCCATTTCCCTGTTCTAATATGAATTTTTTATTGTATTAACTCTTGATCAATCATATGGAAAAGATTTTTCTAATTAGCTGTTTTTTAACTTTATTGAGAGCACCTTTTGTCATATTAAAATTTTAACATCAGGATAATATTAGCCACATTGAACAAAGTGTCTAATTCCCACCTTAATCTGAAATGGTATAAATATTAAAAAAAAAATAAGTACTTCTTGAGGTGTCAAAAGAACTCACTAGTAATACATTTGATTGCAAAAATCCTGGCCTGTGTTCTTTAGTTCTTTTGTAGTTTATTTGTTAAACTAATTTCTGTTGGTTAAAAACAGACCTTTTTTTACCATTTTTAAGTTTTTCATTGCTATAGACACTACTACAATGAATATCTCTAACAGAGTCCTTATGAATGTAATGTATTGATTCCTTAACATATAAATTCCAATTTGTAGAATTTCTGTGTGTTCACATTTTAAAAGCTTTCTCAGGCCTGGCAACTTGCCATCCAGAGAAACTATTACAATGTCTTTTTCTCCTCCCTTGTATGAGAGCTTTCTTTCCTACCTTCACCAGTTTCATTACTTTTAATAAAGTGGTAGATAAAAATCGTGGTTTCCTTCTGGGCACAGTTTTTCTCACCTAAAAGCTAAGAATGTTAAATATATCAGAAAAAATGTTGGGAGCAGGAGTTGTTTCTGGAAATAGATTATGGACCCAGTGTGGTCCTTATCACTGCCATCCTCATTTATCATCTGTTTAGTTACTACAGCTGACCATGGCTCTCTTGTTCCTAAGAACCTCGCAGAAAGGAAAAAGAAGTCGGCCCAAGAGCGCTGTCAGGCTGAGGAGGAAATTGATGCACTTCGGAAGTCACACCAAGAGGAACTGGACAAACTTCGACAGCTCTTGAAAAAAACTCGTGTGTCTACAGACCAAACAACTGCAGAACAGGTAATGGGAAACTGAAGAGTTAAGGAAATGAAAGAAAGACTCAGAGAGAGAAAGAAGCTTCTGGTTCTTCCTTATCTTTTAGGGTGATGTGTCTCTGGTTGATCCTCTCACTTTGGAGGAAGATGTGAGAAGGCAATCCAGATATGAGTATACAGGAGCTGAGTCAAACAGAGAACCTCTTTTTCTTCTTTTAAGCTCATTTTATGTTTAAATAACTCATATCTAATGTTTAATTTCAAGTAGAACATAAAAAAATCTATGAAAAATTCCAAACAAATTAAGGCCAGTAGCATCATTCACCAAGCCACTGAGCTTTAGTCCTTGAAAAGAAAGGATTTATTTAGATAATAGGGAAGGAAATGAGGCATAGTGTCAGGACACAGCTATATTTCTAGTCCATTTAACAGCTATCTTTCTCACTGTAAACTCATACATACATTTATTTCTTGTTAATGTAAATAAACAGGAACTGTTGCCTTTAATTTGATCAGCTCTAGGAATTTTAACAGAATGAAATTTATCTACCTGTATAGTTCAGGAAGCTCTGGTAGCTTAATGTCCAGGAGTTGCTCTGCTAAACCAAAGACCATACCTCTCTGATGGATGCTTTTTGGAAGATGAGCTATCTCTGGTGTGATTTATGTGTGGCCTCAGAAACCTGCTGGAGCGCCAGCCCTGAGTTGGCTTCAACAACAATGAGAGCTGACCTATATAGTTCATGATCTGATCCCTTAACATTGATCATTGCAGTAAGGCCCTGCCTCCAGGACTTTGTCTAGACAGTCAAACCATTGTCTTTGTCCTTCTGGAGTCCTGGCTACAATAAGCTTTTTCTAGAATTTTAAAAGTATATTTACTTTTTTTAAAAAAATAAAGCAATATTTTAAAAGTATATGTACTTTAAATTGTACTATACTTTTTTTACCTCATGAAAGATAGGCTTTCTTAGAAAAGTGACAGGGCTGTCAAAACCACCCCATCCCGCCCCTAATACATGGGTGGGCATTGCTTTCTCTTGGCAGCTGTCTCTAATGCAGGCAGAGCTACAGACCCAGTGGGAAACCAAGCTTGAACATATGTTGGCCTGCACCAAGCAAGAACACCTGCAGCAGTACCAAAAGGTGTGCGAGCAGAGGGACGCCAACCAGCAGAAGCTGACACAGCTTCAGGAAAAGGTAGAAATGCTGTCCCTGAGCCCCTCAGCTCAGGCATTCAATCCCAGTTTCTCCGAGGCAAGCAAGCTTTTCTTTTTTTTCAAGCAAGCTTTTTTTTTTCTATAATTATATTTTATTAATTTTCATAAACATTTACAGAGATTTTGGGCTTCCACTCATTCATTGTTGCACTATTCTCTCTACCCTCCTCCCAGTTTGTTCTTGTCCAAATGCCACAGTGCTTGTCAAAGCCAGTTCTGATTAATCTTGTCAGTGTGTCCTTTGCCATTCCCTATCACTCCTCCCTGAGAGAGACTTCACCCTGAGTCATAAGGAAAAGGGGATGGCATATTCTCTTAGCTACTTCCTGCTGAAAAGGGATGCTGTGGGTTTCAGGGTGAAGATCTTCTCTCACTACTCTAAAGGGCCCCTTTGGCAGTAGGAAACATATAGACTATTATGGAGATTGATTTTGGAATTTAGATGCACTCTTATTGATTGTGCTTGGCTGTACATGTTCATATCCTTGAAGATGCATCATGGGGGTGCTGCAACCTAGAAGACACAAATTTGACTAACAAGTTATAAGTACATGAGTCCAAAAATTATGGAAAAGTAAAAGAAAAGATTCTTTCATTGTTTTACAAACCCTCCCCCAGGTCCCCTCCACCATGCAGCCCTCGCTCTAGTCTCCTGTGATGACAGAAATTCCCAGTTATATCTCTCTTTTAAATGGTTCTCTCCCTCCTCTGTTTCAGTGCAGTATACATTATTGAACCCATCTTACTCAGTCTCTCCCCTACCCCAAGGACAGTCCCATTCTACAACAGTGGCATCATGTAATATTTGTCCTTTTGTGACTGGGATATTTCACTCAGCATAATGTTCTCCAGAGTCAACCATTTTGAATAATATTGCATGAGTTCCTTGTTTTTTAATGCAGCATAGTATTCCATTGTGCGAATATACCACAGCTTCTCTAGCCATTCGTTTGTTGATGGGCACTTAGGTTGTTTCCAGCTCCTTGCTATTGTGAACAGAGCTGCAATAAACATGGGTGTGCATATAGCTGCTTGGATGTCAGCTATGGTCTCTTCAGGGTATATTCCCAGTAGTGGAATTGCTGGGTCAAATGGTATCTCTATTTGCAACTTTTTGAGAAAGCGCCATACTGCTTTCCAGCTTTTTGAGTCTTACAAATCTTTTGATTGTAGAAATAATAGCTGTCAACCAAAACCACAGTAGTTTGACTTTTCAGTCAGTTACCTTTCTCATCTTTTTTTTATCCTTTCAGTGACAAATTATTTTTAGACTTTTAAACATAGTATTTGAGCTTTTCGTTTACAAGATTTGTGGCAGTATTGAATGTGAAATGAAAAGACAAGACTCAAAGTTAGATTAGTTATAAAGATTTCATCTTTATTTTTAACCACATCAGTGACCTGGCAAAAAAACAAATAGCACCAGTGTTCTGGAGCATGTTTTCCATTATTATTTGATCCTTCATTTATTAACAGATATTTATTGTCAGTTGTGTTCCATACATTGTGTCGGGGAAAGGGCGTAGAAAGAACTTTGTCTTCAAGAAAGACCAGAGAGAAACAGAAGTGTACATTGAATGCAGTAGGACCTGGGGGAGAAAGTGCCTTGGGGAGTTGGTTGGAGAAGGCTTCCCAAAGGAGCTGACATTCGAGCAGAGTCTTGAAGTATAAGCTTTGATAAGGTGCAATGAGGGGCAGAATATACTGGCAAAGGCATTGCAGAAGGACAGAGCTGGATATGTTAGGACTACTAGCCACAAAAGATAGGCAGGAAATAACTGTGGGCCATGACATGGAAGTTCTCATACCTGGAAGTGACATGTGTCCTTTTGAAAGCTTTAGACTCAAAGATGATAGAGGCAGTCTTGTGGGTGAATAGGTTTCTGCTAACATTCATTAACCATATATCTGTGTGACTAGAACGGTTACCCCTTTTCTTATTACTCTTTTAAATTATATTCTTGACCCAGTCATTATTGACCTTGTTAGAAAAAAGAGAGTGAAGTTAAGAGTTGAGACTGACTGATGAGCAAATAGAAGGCTCTGGCTGAATTAGTAGACCTGGGGCATGGCAGAATTAGTCATGTGGAGAACTTAGGGAGGTCGGACTTGATGCTTTGAGTCGTTCTCCTTTCGCTGTGTTTCCTGGCTTCACCTGGTAGTTCAGGTTGCTGAGGCCACAGCCATAATCTGTTTGTTTTGCAGTACTTAACTCTCCAGGTCAAAGTCACAGCTCTGACAGAGCAAAATGAACAGTGCAAGAAGGAACTGGAGAGTATTAAGTCCCAAACATCTGGAAAGGAAACTATTACTACAGACTCCTCAGAGAAGGTGAGCTGATACTTTGAAGAAGCAAATCATGCTGTGTCAAGGGATTGAATGTGCATAAAGGCACATAACAACAACAATATACTATATTGGTTGAATGGTTTGTTGTTGTTTTTTTAACTTAAGCCTCTTGTTTAGAGTCAACAAGACCTTGGGGAGGGCCTTTGTATTTAAAAGTCAGTTGTTACTCTATTTTGAAGGAAAATTTGTCTAAGTGGTACAGCAGTCTTCTGTCAATATGCTGTACTGAGTAACCTGGGGTTGCTGTGATGCTGAACCTTGTGCCATTGGGTGTCAAATGCCCTAGCAGTTACCCATGGTGGACAGTGTTGGGTGGAGCACTCAGTTTAAGACAGGCTTGGAAGCAGGAATGGCATCCACTTCTTAAACAACATGCTTCTGGAAACTCTATGAACTTTGATAAATGACAATAGTTATAGAAATGCTTCAGGTCTTTTGTTCATAGGGTCGCTGTGAGTCGTGCTTGACTCGACAGCAATCAACACAACAACATAAAGCATCCAGAAAGAGCGTGACCAAGTTATTGTGTTGGTTTTTTCTCCTTAGTGGCACTCCACTTTTCTGACTGAAATAAAAATCTACCCTTTGGAACCTAGCCACCTTGGTCACAAACCCCAAAATTATATCCATTAGGGTCATAGAAGATACTGGAAATACATCTAGATCATAGAGGAGTAGGGGCCAGGGAGTATGTCCAGCATCCACTAACCACTAACTTTTTTTTATATTTTAATAGTTTTAATGAACATTTACAGAGATTTTGGATTTCCATTCATTCATTATTGCTCTTTTCTCCCTGCCCAGCCCTCCCCCCAACCACTAATTTTTATAGCGCATGAACTCTTAGTGGTTATTACAGTGGGAATGAGGCAACAGTAAATTGTTTATATGCAGCCTTGAACATAAAACATGACCTGCCTCCGCTTGACACAGAATACACACTGTTTAACCTTGCTATCTATCTACACAGTGACAACCTTCAGTGCCTCAGTTAGTGATCACTTATGTCCCACAGTAGGACTTCATTTTAGTATTCCAACCCTTTCGAGAATTTAAATACCTTTCTTAATGACTTGAGTTTGGCAGCATAGCTTTTGATCTTATTTTTCTGTCTTCACATCTTCATACAGGTCAAGAAGATCATGAACCAGGTGTTCCAGTCTTTGCGGGGAGAGTTTGAACTGGAAGAATCTTATAATGGCAGGACTGTTCTAGGGACCATCATGAATACAATCAAGGTACAGCCATCTGTTAACTGTTTTGTAGAAATAAGGTATCTTGTACTTTCTAAGGGATCATGAATAAAACTAAATTCAAAAATCATCCTACGTAATTTACAGTTCCTGGAGTGACTTTTATCTGGACAGATATAGTCTGTCTCATATAACAGGAAGAAACAAAATCAGGTGTTATCAGGTGTTACTGAGATGATGATGACTCCTAGTGACCCTGTGAACAAGAACAGATCAGAACTTCTCCCTGTCCTGCGTTATCCTCACCGTCCCCACATGCTGATGCCTGTTGTTGTAGTCACTGTCAGTCCATCTCCTGGAGGCTCAGCTGCTCGTTTCCAGCATGATGTCTTTTTCTAAGGACTGGCACCCCCTGATAACTTGCCCAAAATATGTGAGGTCAAGTTTCACCCTCCTTGCTTCAAGGGGTACTCTGCTGCACTTCCTCCAAGACAGATTTGTTTGGATTTTTGGCAGTCTCTCTGCCAGAATCATAGTTCAAAGGCATCAATTCTTCATTGGTCATCCTTATTCACTGTCCAACTCTCAGATATATAGGAAGCAATTGAAAATGCCATGGCTTGGGTCAGGCGCATTTTCTTTAAATGGATGTCCTAGATGACTGATTTGTTGGAATCAGCACTAAAGAACTAGGAATGTGTACTACTTTCCTTTCAGTGATTATCTCCTCTTCCTTGGCTTTTGAATAGATTGTGACTCTTCAGTTGTTGAATCATCAGGAACCAGAGAAGGAAGGGAGCAGCAGTGAGGAAGAGGAAGGAGGAAGAAAGAGGCCTCAGAGACCTTCACAGGAGCATTCGGTGCCAGTCAAGTCTGAGCTGTCTCAAGACTCCCTGAATAGGGAGGGGCATGAGGGCCCCACCATGCCATTGGAGCAAGTAGCAAAGGAAGCAATATCATCACATTCTCAGGCCCTCCCCACTCCTCAGGATGATGCACAGAACAGAAAAGGGGAGACCTCAAATTCAGAAGCACTTTCAGAGATGAAGGACGATTCCCTCCCCCCTGAACAGATTTATCTACCCCAGAGAATTCTGGGGCCCCCAACTTCAATTCCACCTACACCTCCAGGCTCTATAACCACAGACCCCGAATGTGAGGAGACACTTGCTGCCAGCCCGGTGGGAACCAAACCAGATGATCCACTGACAAGGGTTGTTGTTGGGGAGGTAGATGGCCCACTGCAAGAAAGCGCCACAAGACCATCCTTGACTTCAGACCCCAAGAAGGAGGACCCACTGGCAGAAGGACGGGAAGACCCAGGAGAACCTCAGCCTCCAGAGCTCAGTACAAACGAGGATCTCACCAGCTCCTTGGGCCCCTCCAAAGAGCTGCTGAGCACGGAGGCAGGCTCTGCACATCCCACAGCGGCCCTGAGGTCCAGCCGGGCTTCTCAGCATTCCAGGTATGTTACTCGGGAACACAGTTTCAGAGACAGTGATGCCTGTGGAAGTTACTGCCACTGGTTTTCCTAGGCCTGACAACTCATTCTTCAGACTCACTCAACTCATTCATGTGTATTTACAATAATTAGTTAGCATAATACTATGTGCAAGGCTCGGTGATAGGCAGAATTACAGAGTGATAGGCAAATTAGACTTAGCTTTTGTTTTTGAGGTTCTTACAGTTTAAGAGATAAAACACTGAAAGCTGGCTGTAGGGGAAGGCTTTCTTACTTTCTGGCTCTTACTGGAAGGTCTGATCACTTCAGCTTCTGTTTCCTGGTTCCATGGAGTTCTCCATGTAGCTTGGAATCTGTCATACCCCATTAACAAAGACAACCTGTTCCAATGAGATTATGACTGTAGGCATGTTGTTGTGCCTTCCAGTCACATAGCTGCAGCTCATAGCTACCCTATGAACAAGGCATGTGAACCTTGCTCTGTCTTATGTCATCCCCACCATCTCTAACACACTTGATCCCACTGTTACAGTCACTGTATCAGTGCATCTCCTTGAAGGTCTTCCTCTTTTGCTGAGCATCCACCTTTTCAAGCATGATGTCCTCTTCCAAGAATTGACCCTCCTAGCACCATGCCCAAAGTGTGTGAGATGAAAATTTCGATCAAATCTGCTTTCTGCCTGTAGAATCCAAGAGGCAGATAATAGTCTTTCCTTTTGTTCATTCTTTGTCCCCCTCAAACACATGCATAATCTCTTCAGTACATTACCATGTAGCCACATATTTGAATGTTCTAAGACATGTGTTCTTAGCTTTTACAACAAAATTTTCCAAAAGTAAGCTTTGTTTTCATTTTGCACATTTCACTTTTAAGTCTATATCTTTCCTCAAATTATACGATAAGCAGCAAGGAGAAATTCAAGGCTCTTCAAGGTCTTGGAAAATCTCCTCAGCTAAATATCCAAGTTCATCCAAGTTCTACCTCCAGCCAAGCAGGTGAATATAACTCAGACAAATTCTTTGCCACTGCATTATAAAGGATCACCCTTCTTCCCTTATCCAGTTGCAAGTTCATCCTTCCCTTTTTATTATCCAGCCTCTCTTCTGCTGCCCGTTTAATATCTTTTCTGAGTCAGAATCAAGGGCAATGATGGTATATAGCTCAAAAGGAATTTAAGATGCACCCTACAGTGAATAACGTAAGAAGGCAGCTCATTCCCAAATGGGATTATAGATGTAGGCACAGAGAATTTAGAACATATAGTTAGGAAAGCACATGACTCAATTCATAATAGGCAAAAATTCTGAAAAGGTGATATTTAGACTGAGAAGATAAGGATGAAATGGAGTCATCTATACCAAGAGTGAGAAGAAGAGATGGAAAACAGAGAGAAGAGCATTTGCAAAGGCTCTCAAGTGGGAGGGAATATGACAGAGGCACAGGGAACCAAAGAGTGGGGTTAAAGAATGACATGGTCCGGTTTATTATTCAGAAGATTGCTCACTTGGCTGTAGGTTATAGAGGGGATCAGCAGAGCTGGGAAGGCCAACCCTGAGAATGGGAAGGGAAGATGGCAAGACCAAGAGTATTTTCTGCAACTTGGTTTTCTTTCAGTCTCTCTGGGGATGAAGAGGATGACCTATTTAAAGGAGCAACTCTAAAAGTCTCAAGACCCAAAGAAGATGCTGAGGAGGATGATGAAGATGAGGTGGTAAGGAGATTTCAGGCACTGCCAAGTCCTCATGGCACTACCCGGGGGCCCATCCCCACTGGTTCTGAGAAGAACCTCTTGCCCCAGAGAAGTGGAACCTGTTGGTGGCCCACCCCCTGGACTCTGTGCACAAGTCCCTGTGGACGTGGGCTTGTGGCTGAGAGAGAGAAGCTCTGCCAGCAGAGTGGGGATGGTCAGATACCACTTTATTCTTGAAAAAGGACCATCATCTCAGTCCACATAGGGATTATTCCTCCACCTTTAAGCAAGGAAAGTTGGACCACTGTGATTGAGGGCTAAAGCCTCAGGCATACCCGTCTTCCAGGATATGATTTATATTCCACAATTTAAAAAGACTTTCTTTGTAGCATCCTTATTCATAGACAGGGAAAAAGCCTGAGGACCAGAAAGGATGATTTTTTTAATGCCAAAGAGCAGGTTAAATGAAAGAGACCTAGGTATGAAATCCAGGGCTAAAGCCATCAGTTTTGAACATTTTCTGTTCCTCACTCTACTTTTTAATATGATGCCTTAGAGTGTTATCCCAACATCCTCAGACAGAAAACTACTAATAGGATAGTATCACTTCAAAGCCTGAGAATGAAGGGCAGGGAGGTAAATTGCTGACAATTTTTTATTAGAACCCCAATTCTTGATGGGCGTTCTACTGAAATGAAATGTGTGTGAAAAACACAGATGACATCAGGGACCAAGTGTGAGGTTTAGTGGGGACAAATTCTGTCCATTCTTGAATCAGCCGGAGTGGGTTTTGTCTTCTGCTGAAACCTTAGGAAGATGATTGTGACAGATCATGACTCCCTTTTGCCCAGGTTTATTTGGGGGAAGTGTACCAGTTCATCCTGTTAGCCTTTTCTCCCAAGAAATAGATTTTTGTTTCAGAATGCTGAATATCAATTCTTTACTGGAAAATACAAGAAATTGGTCATTCCCAGTAACTGCTAGAACTAGAACTTTTTAAGAAGTACATTATTGGTAGTTATACTAAAAATGTCAAGTTAGGTACTTTGAAAACTGCTTCACAAATATTCTCACTTAATTATCTAATAGCTCAATAAAGTTAGTACTTTTATTCCATTTTGTAGATAAGAGGATGGTGACTCAAGAAGATGAAATAAAATTACCAAAGTTATAAAATTAGTAAATGCAGAGCCCAAACAGAATAGAAACTATGAGCCACACTTTGAAATCCTTTTCTCTGAAAGTTTTAGACGTCACTAAAGTGACGCCCAGAGAAAGTTACAGGGTCTCAGTGAATAGGTAGAGGCATTGCCATCAGCTCAAGGCTCTTGGTACCATATCACGCTGTCTTCCTTCTGCAGTGATTGATCTTGGGCCTACAATAGCCCACCAGAGAAGCTCAGGCTAAAGTATTTAGTGCATGCCTGACTTGTTTTGATCCCTCTTACCCACATGGGACCTGCTCCCTTGCAGTCTATAGAATAGAGGCCAGAATCTCAAGCCATGCCAAGGATAGGAGATTGTCCTTTATGGCCCACTAATCTCCTCTATCCCTGCTCTCTGGTAGGAGGAGTGAATGTAGGGCCTGTGAAACCAGGAATGTGGAGGCTGTGGTTTTGTGTTCTTGGGTTTTCCCTCCCTCTCAGGAGACTCCACTTGGGAATGTATTCAAGCCTCTACATTTGACTCTTAAATGATAAGATGGCCATCTTATTGCCAAACCAACCACCCCCGCCCAGAGTAACTATGCTTTCTTAAATGTGATTGTATTTTTCTCAGCTCCCTTTACTTCCTGCATCCTCTGTTCTGTCTTAGGACTCTCTATTTCTTCTGTCTTCTCCATCTCTCCTCTCTTGTCCTTTCCCTGTATGAAATGTGTAAGTTACTGCATGAGAGGAAAACCTGTCAAATCAATACATGTGCTTCACAAATAAATGCCAAAATTAGCCTAACAAAGGTGGTCTTTTTTTCCCCTGTGTTGAAATATTGCCTCCTGCATGTTGTCTTAGCTTGATCTGGAAACCTGGGACTACTGCATTCAGAACTGGTCCTTTCAGTAAAGCTCTCACCAGTAACCTCCCTTCCAACTTAGAGTCCGGAGCAGGTGTTGGATTGCATCTCCTGATGGAGGCAGGAAGTCCACCTGGTGCAGGGACGAGTGAGGACTGACTACTCTTTCCTGTTTTGTCAGAGCATGAAGGGACGTCCGCCCCCAACACCCCTTTTTGGAGAGGATGATGATGATGATGACAGTGACTGGCTGGGATGAAGACCCAGGAAACTGATACCAAGCTTTTTCTTTTGGCCCTTCTTTAAGCACGGTTTTGCACAGTAGCCCTGGGCCTAGGTGAGCTACAGGGTGAAAAGTACAGGTGAGCACTCTGAGGACTGTGGTTCAAGTAATCCACTTTTGAATCCCCTGCCTGGCCTTGTGAGGAATGTGGCCCCACCTTCAGAACACTGGTGTTTTCAACAGTCTGTGTGGTCCTGCCTCAATCTCAGTTGGAAAACTGCTGCTCAATCCCCTTCTAGCCACTCACCTCATAGTGTCTGCCCCTTCCAAGTTTATTAACTGTCTTCACAAGCTCTCAGACTGATTGAGGATCCAGCCTTCCTCCATCTGCTTCTCAGTGTTTAACTGCTCAGCGACAAGACCTGTCACCTGAGCGAGGCCCCCGGGGTAAATCACATCGTCTGAACCCTATTCAGTTAAGAGCCTTTCAAGCATTCCTGCAACATATATCTTTTTCTCTGCCTTAAATCTAATACAACATGTCAGTGAATATCAGAAACTAACAAAATAAACATTGGAATGAAACTTGACTCAAACCTTTGGGGGAGAAATCAAGTGTGGTTCTAAGGGCTGTGCTCTACCACTGGGGATCAAAAGTTAGGAGCTGCAACAGACACAGGTTAGTAAGCACTAAAGCATAGTGACATATCCCCAGTGACAATTAAACCTGGAACTTAGGCCTTCAAAATCAGCTTTCTGTTCAGCCACTTCATAATGTTCAGGACATTGAGGTTAGCTAAAGACTAGTGCAGACATTCACTTGCTTCTGTGGGCTTGGCCCACAGAAAGGGTCATGCAAAAGGAATATATTCCATTACATATTGTTAGGTTATTATAGTCTTATTTTCCATTATCTACTATGATACCTGATAGATTCTTCACCCTTTGGAGGGTAGCTTCCACTGTCTCTGAACTCAGGGGCTAAGACTAAGAGTGAGAAAATATTTGTGGTCATTTTATTCATTCAAGATCTTTCAAAGAACCTGAAAAGAAAAAAAATATAGTAATTATAATAAAAATGTTTCCTGATTTTAAATGATTGTAAGATAGATCTTGAATTTTACTCCATCTGGCCTGGCTCCCTGTTAAACAGTTAGCACTGTTTGTTACACTTAGGCCCATTTTACATAGGAGTTCTGATCTCCATCAACCTTTTCAGAAACACTGCTATCCCTGTTTCAGAGAGGAGAGACCTCAGGTTTACAGAGGTAAAGTAACTTGCCCAAGTTTATATAGCACAAAACAACCCATGTCATGGCCCTTATCCCAGTGGTGTTTCCCTTGCCTGACCATTAAGCACCACTTGGGAGAGCAAAGGGGGGAAATACTTCTTAAAAGTTTCTAGGTCCCACCTTAGGCTTCTTGAAACAATTTCCACTGTTATGGTAAATTGCTTTGTGTGTACCATGGTATCAGAACTAACTCAAAGCTCTACCTCCATAGGGTTTTCAAAGGCAGTAAATGCATAGAATGAGACTGCCCATCTTTCTTCCACAGAGCTCTTCGTGCATTTGAGCCATGTGCTTTTGGGTTGGCACCAAACACAACTCCTTACCACTAGGCCACCAGAACTCCCATGAAGTAGAATATTGGGGGGTGGGGGTGGGGGAAGACATTTAAATCTCTATGATCTGCATTCTCATCCCTGATCCACTGGGGCTTCAGGCCAAGTTGTTCCCTTCCGACCCTTCCTCGGAGATGCACACAGACTGCACTTCTCAAAACCCTGCCTCTCTCGTTGAGTAGCTGATTGACTTCAACTTCCTGCCTCTACTTTTTTTCCTCTAATGGTGAGGATTAAGCTGCTTCATGTTTTTATCTAATGGTGAGATTAAATGAGCTAATATTTAGCTCAACTCATTTAATAGAAATTTAGTAGAAATAGATACTGCCTGGCATCTGACAATCATAATATTTTGTCAAATTTTTAAAATATTAGAGAAAATACTTTTTTGTGACCTTTGTGGGCATGGTCACAAAAGACCTCTAGACTCTTAACACCCTCCAATATACTGTCACTTTTAAAGAGTGTAGAAGGCTGAAAAGGTGGCTGATAACCACAGGCCTCCATCTCAGCTGAGCCCAGGAAGAGGAAGGACTTGACCACACTGGCCATTTGGGTCCTGATGTCTGTTCTAATGCTCAGCAGCTCTCGGGGGAGAATGCACAAGGCCGTCCTACACGAGTCACATACTCTGTGCCAGTTATCTCATGGTAAAGCATGATGTTGATGTATTTTTGCTTCTGCCCTAAGGGAGAGAAGGTTCAGTCATACTAACACTGTTTCCAACGCATGTGACAGCTACTTTTCTCATAGTGGCACCTGGCTAAGTTTTCTGTAAGAGGAACAAAAGAATGCTAAGCTGGTGCTCTAGGATGTCCACTAAGCACAGTGTTTCAGGGCTGGGCTTTCCACTGCAGAACTGTCCTCCAACTTTCATAACAAACGATCCTTAACAGCCCTCTGAGGGGCAGTCCCGTCACCTTCATTCACCCCACTTGATAATTACAGTTTTTAAGAGTCACTTGCATTTGTTGTTAGAATGAGAACAGAAAAGCCAGAGATTATTTAAAAATACATATTTATTAAAATGTATTTTCATTTCCAAAGCTTAAGACCACCCCCCCATCTAGTCCACGAAGCTATTAGAGCATAGATGTTACAATATACAAGGATCCCTGTGGCATGGTGTTGGTCTGCTGACCACAAGTGGGCAGGCAGAGTCCACCAGCCACCCCACAGGACGCAGGTCTTTTCTTAAAGACTTAGAACCTCGGAAACCTGATGGAGGATCAACAGAGTAAGGATCACTAGGTCTGTGTATGACAATATTACGCTGGGCGACTTAGACAAGTGCTTTTTCGTATCTCTTTTCCTATAAGGTAAAGAGACTCCGTTCTCAGAAGAGTTCCATCAATTATAAAAATGTAACAGCTTTGGTTTGACTACTTACTGCAGCTTCAGTCAATACGCTGTGTGGCTTAATCAGTAGTTTAAGTGAATGAATCATGTTATACCACCAGTTAGATCACTATGGGTGCACAGTGATAGGGAACATTATTAAATACTCGATATTGTTAAATGGGTTTGTCTGTTCTCTATTAAAGCTGCAAAGAGCTTCCCAGCTTCCCAGCCATGTAGGGCCATGACTCTTCCACCTGCAGACAGTACCAGCTGCTGGAAGGAACTCAATCCATGCAGACTAAATCAGGAGCCCTGATGAAAACAGCCCTTCAGTTCTGCCTTTCATGTGTTGTCCTTCACCCTCTCCCCAGGAAAGGGAAACAGGTCTCAGCAGATTCTATGATCAATCATAAATAAAGTGAAATAATTTCATAATAAATTTTGTCTTGAGTTATTGTGCAAAATTGTGAGCCAAGTGCTCAAGTTGGGGGGGGGAGGGAAAGGGATTACTTAGTGTAATTACATGATTCACAGAGGAGACGTGCATTCCAAAGGTAGAAAGGTGAGAAACAGAGTCAGCTTAGTCTCTGCCACCCAAAGACAGAAGAGACTGCAAAGTCCCAAGAAAGATGGCACTTTAAGGCACAAAAAAGGACAGAGTATCTAGGCTCCCTTCCCTTCATGTAGAACCCACATCACTGTCTTGATTTTTAGAGGATTTGCGTCTCTGTGGAGCAAGGACTCAGCAACCGTGCCACAGGTTCTGTTCCCCTCTTCCCCTTTTGGTTATAATAGCCTTAAGGCACAAAAAGACCTGACCTTGACCCTGTGTAGACTTGCTGAGGAAGGAGGTAGTTGCAACAGTCTCTGAACTCCAGGCAGCAAGAGTTGACTTCAGCTGGGAGCTTGCGGAACCACTTGTCAGAAGAAAAAGATGACGGGCGGGAAGTGCAGTGTCTGGAGAAAAAAGGAGCGCCAGCCCCTCAAGCCCCTCAGTTCCTGCTCGTTCTGATAACTAAACGATGCTGAGAAGTGGGTAGGCGAGGTAATAGCCCACAGCTGAGCCCAGGACCAGGCCGAGGAAAATCCAGGTGTTGTAGGACATGACAGCCAGCATCATGAAGTAGCCGATGACCACCTGAGCGATGTGGATTAGCGACTGGCCAAAATGATACAGGAACCACCTAAACATACAGGAGGGTCAAGTTAATGCTGGCAGTGAGCTGGAAACCAGGAGCCGATGTTAAGGACTACAAAGGTCAGCTGTGTTATAGGACCCGCTTATTAATAATTTGTATGCTTAACCAAGGATCATTTTCTTTTTATAGAGACATAACAAACCATTAATAGAAAAGAGGAACTTGTATGAGGAGCCTAGGAGAATTTTGAGCTTCCTGATATCCTAGATTGAAAAAGGGGAAATGATTATGCAGTCTAACCTGTTTGGTAAGGGATAACATCAAGTTATTAGTAAGGCAGTTTTCCCTGAATCTGAATTAAGATGCTGTTGAAGTATACTGAATATACCATGGACTGCCAGAATAATGCGCAACTCTGTCCTGGAAGAAATATATGAGGGTACATTTCTATATGGTTTTACGTACTCTGAGCATCTCTTAGGTTCCTAGAAGGACATCCTTGAGAGGGGGTCATGGATAAAAGAGGAAGACTTAGTAAGACCCGGACATAGCGGCTGCAATAATGGGCGCACACAGCGAGGACGGTTCTGTTGTTCACAGGGATGTGTTGGAACCAACTTGGTGGCATGTCAGTGGAAGACAATGACAATGGCAAGAGCATGGGCTTTGAGAACATTTCAGTCCGAGTGCTGCCACTTAAACTGTGCCTGAAGGTCAAGGGTCTCTGAATGCCATCAGTAAAATGGGAGTAAGAATCGCTCCTTTGCAGGGTTGTTGTGAAGATTTAAGATTACTGGTGTGAGAAGGCTGGTAATGGAGTATACAGCTTAGTAAGTACATACAGGTGAGGTTAGAAATGTAGAGATGATACCACGCAACCTATCAAAGAGGGATGGGACGACAGGAGAGGGTGCCCTCCACTCCCCACGCCATATTGGAGAGAACACTGACAGCAATTCTTGTCATTTACTTAGGGCAGCTGCAAACCTGGCTGGTTTAGAGAGGCCCAGTGACCTAAGGAAGCCTAGAAGATTTGAGGGGTGGGTAGGTGGCTCCCCTGTTGCTAGGTGGAGACCTACAGCAGAAGAACTGGAAAGATAACAGTTCTCTAGGAAATTCCAGGCTGTTCATAAAGTAATTCAGGTAGCCGTTCATACAGCTGAGCGCTGTGGTCTGCGCATCAGGAGAGCTGAGTTCTAGTCCCCCTTACTACTTACTGTTGAGTGCTCTGGCAAATCCTGGTCTTTCTTCAGGCCTCAATTTCCTTTTTATAAAGCAGGACTAATGTTTTCTGGGCCCATCTACTTCTCAGGGTAAACATGGAAACCCCATTTACCTGAGAAGCGATCTGTTGACTGTGGGGGATCCTGAGCCTGTTGACTCCCAGTCTGTATCCTCGGTGAGCTGCTGGTTGGTGGGGAATGGCAGGCTCTCCAGGGCTTGGTGGAGCAGCTTGACTTTACCGACCTTGATGCCTTCATATAACACGGCCAGGAGCAGGACTACCACCACCGAAAGGGCCATGCCTGCCAAAGAGGCTGAGTTCAGAGACTTACCGGAGACGTTTCCCTCCAGGAGCCGCCCCCCTCCAGGAGCCGCCCCTGCTTCCTCTGAATCCACTCCATCTGCTTCTCTCTGGCATCTTCTTCCCAACCCTTGTTCAGGTCTGAACTTTTATTATCTTTTTCCCCCTCCAGACCTTTCTTGGTGAGGTTGGCCTGCTGGGTGTGGCTCTGAAATCTGGAGGAGAAGCTGCCTGGGAAAGCTGAGACTTCTGCTTTACACCCTACACTACCACCTAACCCACCTATTCAAGGGTCTGCATATATCTCTGTTGTGACCTCTTACTAAGGGGAGAGTATGTACAGCAAGGTCCTATTTATGTCTAAATACATGAAAACTGGTGGCGTAGCCCATAGGGAGTCGCACTGTTAACCCAAAGGTGATGCTTCTCTGGCAGCTCAAATCCACCAGCAGCTCCGATGGAGAAAACTGGACACTTTCCTCCTATGTGATTTACAGCCTCTGAAAACCCACTGGAAGGTCAGCTAGGAGTCAGTTCTGACTTGAATGCAATGACTTTTTTGTTGACACACTGAGTGGTTATCTCAGCAAAGTAGAACACATATTTTCTCACCTAATTTTCTAAAATTTTTATATTTGTTTTATAATAGGAAAACCGCAGTATTTTATAGAAATCATTACCCTCTGTGTAAAAGGAATCACTAATTGCTACTTTTATTGTACAAGTAGAAAGATAAAAAATTAAGTGGCCTGGCTATAGTATTATATTAAGCTCCCAAGAGAAAACCACTGCAGGTTTTTTAAAATGTTGAAACAGAAATAGGATTACACAGTGGAAGGTCTTTCGAGCCTCAGCTTTTTGCTCAGAAAAAGTTCCGTTAGCACTTTGTTGTACAGCCTTCTGGGGAATACTCAATGCACATGTAAAGAGCTGTCTAAGGACATCCTGTCTGTACAGGACACTTTGGTGGCTAAGTGGTCAACACCTGTGCTGCCAACCCAAGGGCACTCTGTTCGAGTCCACCTGCTTCTCCCAGGAGAAAGATGAGTAACCTCCTCCCATGGCATTTACTACCTCTGAAAACCCGCTGGAGGGCCTGCTATGGGATGGTTTCGACATGACAGTAAATAACATCATCTATACACACTATTCCATACCAAGCTTCATCACTCAGATGTCTCATACTGGAATCCCCTTTATCACACACAGACCTCCTTTCTTTCTTCGCCATGACCTCACAGTATCTATAATCACAGATTATATTTTCCAAAGGGAACCATCACAATATAGCCACCCAACATGGTCTTCCTAAAACGTTATGGCAACACATCTGCCGTCAGGTGGTGACACCTAGGTTTTTATGCTTTTAACCTGGGCAGACATTTGTGACTGTTTCAGTCATTAAAAGTAAATGATATGTGATGCCCAAGGAAGGGTCTCAAAAACGCCATGGGGGGGGAGCCATTATGTTCTCTTGGGACATTTGCTCTTGAACTTGGTCACAGCTGTAAAGAAGTCCAATCTAACAATTATTACCAACCACCAAACATGAGGGTGTGGAAGCTTTTAAGATGGTTCAGCTCCAGCCACTTATGCATGAGAAACCACTGAGACCTGTCCACTCACAGAACTTTAAGAAAGAATAACTATTTTCAGCCAAGAGATTGTGTGTTTCAATGCACATAGTATTCCACAATATTGCAGTACCCACAGTGGCTGATCATTTATTCCATATCGCCTTTCCCATCACCCATATTAATACATTTATCTATTAGTGATTTGTTACTCAACAGATAACCAAAATGGTTTGACCATAATTTACTTGGTCAGCATCTACAATATTTAGGTGCTTACAGAGTATTTTTAAGATGCAAAATAATGTCATCATGATTTAATGTCCAACTCCAGATTTTCAAGTCAAAGAAATCCACTTTCCTTTCAAATTCATGTCTTGAGTGACGTCAAGGCTGCAGCAGCTGCTCTGGAATTCTAGGACAAGGAAGCCCAGGTGAGAGGGTTCCAGGCTCAGCAGGAGGGCTCGACTAATTCTAGCTCTGCCACTTACTGTGATCCTAGGTGAGAGTCCTACCCTCTGGGCTTCAGCTCCTTCCCTGTAACACAGGAAAAGCGGTCTCCCTGACCTCTCTCCGGGCTTCTCTGAGGGTCAGTGAGATAAAGGCAGCTTTCCCTTCTGAAGAGCAGTGGTTGTATTTGGAATTTTTCCCCTTCAATATGCTCACAGAGCAGAGCCACAATGAAAACTGAGTTCTCCAGAGCACAGAGCTCCAGGTAAGGTTTTGACTTGCCCATTCTTACCTGTAGGGCTGTGGACGCTCCAGAAATCAAACAAAAGCACCACCTTATCTGAGAAGATGAAATGCATCTGAAAGAAAAGGGACTGTGCATTACTGGGGGGCCTGCAGAACATGCGGTCCCTAACATTTCCCAGCAGCCTCACCTTGGAGCCCAAAACCTGAAGCCACTGAACTTAAGTGCTTGAAGGGCCATCTGGTTATCAGGGCTAAGTGAGGCCAGACTGGGTGGGGACTTAATCAAGGTCCCATGGCGGGTAACAACACAGCTATCAGTGAGTGGAACAGGGGTTCCTGTTCCAAGTAGAAGTGAAAGTGGTGGGAATGTTCCACCTCACAGGAGGCCAAGCTCAGGACAATGTGATGGCATTTAGGTCTCATGGCAATATTCTGTAAAATGGAAAGTTAAAGTCCTTTTATAGGGAGGGAAGACATTAAGCAAGCTACTGAAGGTCACAAAGCCAGTATGCTGGCAGAGCTGGGATTCAAATCTGAGACTAGACAGATGCCAATGCACCGTGTGTTTTACTACATGATGCAGCCTCCTCACCTCCAGTAAGGATGAGAGGGGAACTGACGGATTTTAAATGTCCCACAATCTTAATGGTTGCATTTGGCAAATTTGATGGATTGTTAAGTTACCCTCTTAGGAAAAGTCCCCTCTAGTCACCAGTTAAGACCTCCTCTGCCAGCCGCCCCACTTTTTTTAAAAAAATTTATTAATTTCTATGAACATTTACAGAGATTTTGGATTTTCATTGTTGTACTTTTCTCCCTGCCCACACCCCCCCCCCATTTGCTCCTCTCTTTGAAAAGTAAAATACTTTCTTTGGTATACAATCCCCCCACACCCCTCCCACCGCCCCAAGTACACTTCACTATGCAACCATCATTCTGGACTCCTGTGATAACCATAATACTTTATCATATATAGCTTTTAAATTATTCTCTCCCTCATCTGTTTCAATGCAGTATACATAATTTATCCAGTTTTTCTCAGTCTTACCCCAACCCTGATGTCAGTCCCATTCTACAACAGTAGCACCCATGCAGTATCTGTCCTTTTGTGACTGAGATATTTCACTCAGCATAATGTCCTCCTGGGTCACCCATTTTGAATAGTGTATGAGTTCCTTGTTTTTCAATGCAGCGTAGTATTCCATGTGTGAATATACCACAGCTTCTCTATCCACGTTTGATGGACGCTTCTTCTAATGCTACCAGGGTTCACACAACTGGTAGAAGTCTTTGCCTTTTAAGACAATGGCCAAATAGTAGAATCTTCCTCTGTTGGAACTATAAGTGTCTCGAGAATTCTTAGTTTCTTGGCTGCTTTCTATTCCTGGCCCCCTACTCCAGAATACTTTGTTCAAATTAATTTTTACTTCTCCCTAATTCCATTATATACAAAACACTGGGCTCTGGGCGAAGAGGGGAGAGGGGTTCAAACTGTCAAAATTTAAGCTTGAAAAATAGGCCTGGTCCAACTCTTTCCCCTCTTCAACAGGCTCACCCCCAGCCCCCGTCAGTTATTCTGATGAAAAAATTGTTCTAAGTGGGGAAGAGGTTCACACGAGACATCATAACAATCTATGTGGAAAGAGGAGAGGAACAGGAGAAGCTACGGGCCTTCGTGGCGCAGGGTGGAGGGCTGGGCAGATTCGCTGCCCTTCTGTCTGGAAGCTGCAACACTCGGAACATGCGTCTCTGCTTCGTGCTCAGGGATCGTCCATGTTGGTGTTGTTGTTAAGTACCCACACGTAGGCAATTCACAGTAACCCGATGAACAACTTACCTGGATCCTGCACGTCTGTCATATCAGAATCTCCACACTCAAACTCAGTGCTGTGCCAGTCAATCCATCGCACCAAGAAGCTTCCTCTCTTTTCCGGACCCCCACCTTTCCCAGCAGGACTGGCCCCTCCATAGTGTGTGAGATGATGTTTCACCGGCTTTGCCTCTGAGGAGCTCCCTCGCTGCTCTTCCTCCAGCTTAGAGTTGTTCTTTCAGCAGTCCATGCCTTTTTCCAGCACCACAATTCAAAGGTATAAATAACTCCTTCAGTCCTCTTTACTCGTTGTCCAACTTTCAGATGCTTGGATCCTGATCTCAGCACTAAAGTGTAGGAATTCTAACCTCTCCTCTCCTTGTTAGGATCATGGGAGATGGTCCAGGCTAGTAAACTGAGCCTAGCCTTTAGGTTGAGACAAATCTGTCACCCAAACCCTCCTTCTGAGGTTCCACTTCCTCCTAGAGTTGTGGGGAGAAAACACCTGTGACACTGTCCACAGGCGATGAAGGTAAAGCACAGGAGGTGTCCCATAACCCAAGTCTGCCCATGCCGTCAAGGCACGAGAGGCCGCAGGAGAGCACTGCTCAGTGTTCCATGGGGAAACCACAGGATATTAAGAACTGCTCTGAAAAATGGATACTACAGTTAAATACATTCAGATATTGGAATTAGATAAAACAGTGTTTAATAGCTGTCTTCCCTATCTTAAAATATTTTTATTTTCTCTTGCTGAGTATCCCATGGGTGAGTGTCTTGCAGAAGATTCTGTGGGAAGTGCTCATTGTGGGAACACTCTCTTTTCATATTTGGGAAGAGAATGAGAGAAGTTAGGACTTACTGAAGGAGCTCTGGTGGCCTAGTGGTAAGGAGTTGTGTTGTCAACACCAAAGGAATGTGGTTTAAGTCCATTAGCCACTCTGAGGGAGAAAGATGGGCAGTCTCCTCCTATAACCTCTGAATAACAGCCGGAGGGTCTGACACAATCGTTTCCCTCTCAACAGCACATACCAACAACAGTACTTACTCAGGAGCTCTGGTGGTGTAGTCCTTGGGGACTGACACTGCCAACCCAAAGGCGGCACCTCTGATTTACAGCCTCTGAAAACCCACTGGAGGGGCAGCTATTCTGACTGAAAGGCAATGAGTGGGGGAGCAAAAACTTTCTAAACACTTCATGCCAGGCACTATCCTAAAAATGTTGTATCAACTCATTTACTTGTAACAAAGTTAATAAATGGCTTAGGAAGTTCATAGTTAAGTCTGTGCACCTGCAGGTTGGCTAGCTTCCAAGTCTGTGCTCTTAAGCATCCTACCATACCTACACTCAGGGCAGCACCTGGAGCCCCAGAGCTCCGGATCACATGACAAATCAATGGCAAGCAAAGAATTAGAACCGAGTTCTTCTTCCCAGCTTCTTATGTGAAACAAGAGGAAAAAGATGCACTAAGAGGTGAAGATGTGAGTCCATTGTATTTTGCAACACTAGAGATGAGAACTCTTTACACAACACAGTCTTTCAGCTGTTAGTTTCAACATTTTGGAAAGAAGATGTGACAACAGCAGAAGCAGCAGATTCAGTCACTGTGGAGAAGAGAAGGGAAGAAAGTGGGTAAGGTGGGTCATACGAAGATAGCTGCCTCAGAGTCAATTCCACAGCTGTGCTCAGCCCCAAGATTAGCAATAACCACAAGCCAGCACCTGGCTGCTATTTCCTGGAGAGAGACAAAGTGCTTGGATTAAATGAACAAAGGAAACAAAGATCAACTAACAATTGGAAAGTCACAGTCCAGAAGAGTTACAAAAATAAGACAAAAAGGTAAAGAGGCAGAGGCGGGAGGGAAGGACACTGGGTGGAAGGCAGGTGAGGAGGAGCAGCTGCTGGCACATCTGGCTCTATAAAGGCAGAACATGCTCCCGGTAATTGCTGGCTGCAGTGGAAGGTACCGTGGCCTGGGAGACCTGAGGCCTCCTCCTGGCTTATAGCCTGTAATTGTGGGGCACACAAAAACCCTACAATGGCACTGGCACAGTGAGGAGAGGCACACTTCTCCTTAAAATTATCAAGGCCCTTATTAAAAATGCAGATTCCTGGACCACCTCCAATCCCTACATTAGAAATTGGGAATGGAGCCACAGAAGGTAAAGGGAGACATCAGATCTGAGCATGCCCCTTAAGGGGATTCTGATGCTCATAATAATCTGTCACAGTTTGAGCTGAGGCAGCAAGGCTTTGTGGTCAAGAAGGGGTACAGTTTTAAAACCATACAGCCTCCCAGGAACCAAGTGCTTGGTGGTGCACTGACACACAGCAGGGCCCTGAAGACCTCAATCTGTAAAACAAGGACTCTAGGAATCCTGTCACTTGTTCTGGTCTCATTCTCATCGGTCCTGCTGGATGTACAGGAGCCAGCTTGAGTTCCATGCCTAGCCTAAAACCCTCTTAAAAAAAGTAAGTCGCCTCCATCCAAAAGTGAAAGTGCCTCATAGTTACCAGGAATGGAAAGGGAGGGAGACGCGAGTGAAAATTAATAAACAGATGAGTTGGTGGAAGGCAATATACAATAAGGAGTAAATCGGGCCTTTTTAATTAGTTAATCATATTAATTAATTGTAAATGTCAGTCTAGAGACTAAGGTGTGCCTGAATCAGGCCATAGTCTTTGCAATTAATTGCTATGCATCAGAGAGCTGAGCAGTGACCAAGGCTGACAGAAGAACTGATGCCTTTGAGTTGTTGTGCTGGAGAAGAGTACTGAACATACCATGGACTATCAAGAGAACAAACAGGCCTGGAGAGGGTAAAACCAAGCTGCTCCTTGGCTCCGTCTCACATACTTTGAGCATGTTTCTGGGAGGGACCAGTCCCTAGAGAAGGACATCATGTTTGGAAGGGTAGAGGGACAGTGCAGGAGAAGAGCCCAGATGAAATGGATTGACACAGTAACTGGGGTAATGAGGGTAGGTGTGTCAGAGACAGTGAGACTGGCTCAGGATAGAGCAGGACTCAGAGCTACTGTGCATAGGGTTGCTATGAGTTGTAGATGACTTGAGGCACATACAACAATAGTTAGTGTTATAAAGGAAAATGTATAAATGCTTGAATGACTGAATAAAAAGTCAGAATGAATTGTAACTTTTACTAAGATAAACATGTATATATATGCCTTTGGGTTTCTGGATTGGGTGGGGACCTCATTCAGACACATGCTCAATCTCTGGGTTCAGATTTACACATTGGTTCTTTGGCCTTTGCTGTTGTTACTAGGTCCCATAAAGTCACTTTCAACTCAGAGCAGAGAACAGAATGGCTCTCCAGTTTTCTAGG